GATTTGAAACCTTAGGAGAACTTCTTGCCATCTTAACCTACCAGAGGGCCATTAACCTACTATTTTGAAAAAAAAAAAAAAAATCCAAAATTTATTTTAAATTGTGACAATTTGTAAGAGGACAGAGGTTGTACAACAGAATTATTCACATCCTTCATCATCCCAGATCTGAAGGAAAACAAATGAAGAACTCAAGTTAAATATAATTTCTTTTCAATCGCTCACCTTAAGCCTTACCTTATAGTTTTTTAATGGAATACGACATGTCAATCGGGTTGCATCAAAATATCCAATTTTTGCTGGATGTCCAGTCATCTCTCCCTGCTTAGGGCTCGAAACTGGCGGAAATCACAAGAGGAGTGGGCATTCGTGCTACCACAATGCCACAGGAAATGGGGTTACATATTGTAAATATAATCTTGAGGTTATCTTAAGGTGATTTTGGGGCTTAGCGTCCCCGCGGCCCGGTCCTCGACCAGGCCTCCTATTTGTTAACAACCCCCCCCCAGGAAACAGCCTGTAGCAGCTGACTAACTCCCAGGTACCTATTTACTGTTAGGTAACAGGGGCATCAGGGTGAAAGAAACATTTTACCCATTTGTCTCCGACTCCACCAGGGATCGAATCCTGGACCTCAGGACTACGAATCCGAAGCGCTGTCCACTCAGCTGTCAGGTGTTGATGGTAATCCGCTTATTACCAAAGTAATTGGTTCACCTTTTGCTAAGGTTAATTGTTCACTACCACTGCATGTTTCTGTTCAAGGAATCTGCAGTCCACTTCCTGAACTCATAATGTACCACATCAGTAAATATTGTATACTGTGAAAAGTTTACACTACTTGCTGATGTAGGTTATTTATATGTACAGTATGTGTAAGATATGGCACATAAAGACAACGAAGGCCAAAGTTTCGAATACGGGCAACCTGTCCTCTTAAAAAGAACGTCGCTTTTGGCCGTTTGCCCGTATGGCCGAATTTGGACGTAATTTGAAAATGAAAAAAAAAATAAAAATAAATTTGGGATTTTTTTTTTTCAACAACAGTAAGTTAAGGGTCCTCTGATTAGTTAGGTGGGCAGGAAATTCTCATAAAGTTTCAAAACGTTATGAAAAACGTTAATTTAAAGTCCTCTCATAACCTCTGCGCATACGCCGGGCGACTCAAATAGAAAACGGAACAGAACGTCACTTTTGTGAGTCGATTTCATTTCAAATTACGTCCAAATTTGGCCATAGCACGCATACCAGCCAAAAGTGACGTTATTTGTAAGAGGATGGGTTGTGTGTATAGTGGGTAGGTTCAAATGACTAAACGTGCAACAACAAGGTTGAACTATGTTAAATTGTTGTACAGTATTACATTAATATTAATTTCATGCTGAAATTTGGTAAACATTTACACAGGGTTCTTCAGCAAGATCAGCGTTTAAGGTTCTTTGACACAAACAGTCCAGTGCTGAATAAATGGTGGGGATGAAGGACATCGGTAATCGTCAGCTCTCTGTCCTCGAAGAGGCCACTAGTGTGTTAGTGGCCCTCAGGTAAGTTCAGGTCAAACAGTCCAGTGTTGGGCCCTTGACAGAAACACAGTAGAGTGCTGGTCCCTTGACAAAAACGCAGTAGAGTGCTGGTCCCTTGACAAAAACACAGTAGAGTGCTGGTCCCTTAACAAAAACACAGTAGAGTGCTGGTCCCTTGACAAAAACACAGTAGAGTGCTGGTCCCTTGACAAAAACACAGTAGAGTACTGGTCCCTTAACAAAAACACAGTAGAGTGCTGGTCCCTTGACAAAAACACAGTAGAGTGCTGGTCCCTTAACAAAAACACAGTAGAGTGCTGGTCCCTTGACAAAAACACAGTAGAGTGCTGGTCCCTTGACAAAAACATAATAAAGTGCTGATCCCTTGACAAAAACACAGTAGATCCCTCCCTCACCGGAATTCCCTAACTGGAGTGAGAATCAGTGGTTCAGGAAGCTATGATGTCTGGTCTTTTGAGGCTCATATTACAATCATTCAGGACCTTCAATGTGATGAATGATGTGTTCTTGTATTCACCTAGTTGTGCTTGCAGGGGTTGAGCTCTGCTCTTTCGGCCCGCCTCTTAACTGTTACTAACTGCTAATCCCCCCCCCCCCACACACAAACACACCCAGGAAGTAGCCCATAACAGCTGTCTTGAAGCTGGCAGCTTGTCAAAGGTCAAACCCCCTTAACCATTTGTCCTGGAGCCTTTTTCAAGTTGGATTTTAAAGTTCAGCAGAGTTTTGGCATTTACTGCTTTGGCAGGTCGGCAGTTTCATGAGTTTATAACCCTGTGGGTGAAAATGTATCTCCTGTTTTCAATCTTCCACTGTGGCTTTTTGAGCTTGAAACCATTACTACTCTATTATGCATGAGTGAAGTACGTAGTAGCAGATTTAAAAAGGTTTATAGTACTGTACAGTATTTACAGTACTATACCATAAAATGATGCAATATAAAATGGTCACTGCTTGATCGCAAGCGGGGATGTTTCTGGCGGGGGAGAAAGAAACAATTGCGCAGCGCGTCCCGCGGCGTTGCGCGGGCAGTTTGGGGCCGTATAAATACGGGCGCACAATGGGGCTCTGCCCTCACTCCGCCTGCCCTCGCCGCTGCCCTTGCAAAACCCCACCCTCCCCCCCTTTGCAAGCGGCTGCTTTTGTACCCCCGTCATGCTTTGCACAGTTGTCCCAATTGTCTCCCCACTGCATGTGGGAAGGGGGGTGCAGCGCCGGTCCCCAAGTGTCCCGCTGTCCGCAGCTAATACTTTGCCCAGTCTATGTGCTAGTAAGCCCTACTTGTAGTCACACCCCCTTCTCCTTATCCATTAGGTCTTTTACGGCCTCTTGGCCGGGTACATTACGTGTTATGTGGTCTCTCACTTATTAGTTATTCTTTGTGTCCTGCCTGTTATATCCTAGTGTTATATAATTACTACACATTTGCACTCGGCCTTAATTCTAGTACCAGTTAACCTTTAGGTTTCTGCAGAATTAGTTTCCATGTCACTATAGGCTAAGGTCTCATACTTACTACGGGTGTACCTTTTAAGTTAAATCTAGTCCTCGGACTTGGAATTGTTACTGTTAATTCTTACTTTATATATTTACTTTATATATTTTAATATAAACGTTATATATTTACTTAATTTATATATTTGAAACTTTATATATTTACATGTTCAATATTAAGTTTAATATAATATCAACTTTGTTATAAGTCTATAATATAAACCGTGTTTAATATAAACTTTATATAATTACTTACTTTATATATTTGAACTTTATATATTTACATGTTCTGCAGAATTTAATCTTCAATAAACTTTAACGCCCCATACTGCCAGTATCTTTCTCCCCCTGGTCAGAAAATGAACGTTACTAGGTTAAGTGTCAAAGGTTCAGTGGTACCTCAGTTTTCAAATTTAATCCGTTCCCAGAGACGATTCAAAAACTGATAATTCGAAAACCAAAACAAATTTTTCCATAGGAAATAATGTAAATTGAATTAATCCACTCCACACCCCCAAAAATATTAACTAAATAATACATTTTATACATAATAATACTGATAGGTACCTTACTTTTAGTACTGTGTTTAGTTTCGAGTACTGCGACGGTCGGGTGGAGTGAGAGAGAGCCCCTCTCTGCCCCGGAATTGATATGGCCCCAGACTTCGCGCGCATCTGCGTGGGGCGCACTGCACAACTGTTTCTTTGTCCCCCTCTTCAGAAACATCTCCGATTTGTATTTCAAATCAGAGGCCATTTAGTGTTTGGAAGGAGAAGGGAATTATCAGGAGAAAGCACCAAGCCATTGCGACAATATAGCAATGGGAAGGGGTCAGGATAAGGATTTGCGATGGGACGGGGGAAAAGGAATGGTGCCCAACGACTTGAACTGTCAGGGATTGAACGCTGACCTGCATGAAGCGAGACCGTCGCTCTACCATCCACCCAAAGTGGTTGGGCATTTGGAAGGGAAGTTCCCTTTCATTATAACAGCAGTGATGACATTTCAGGGGTATTCTCTCTCTTATGTTTTGCAGGCATACCACTTGGACCTGGTTGTGGCTCACTGCTTGCTTGTCTTACTAAGAATTTGTTTATAGACACTTGTTTTTCCCAACGTTTTAATACTTGTCATATAGTGAGACATTGTCTCACAATGAATGATCTCTTGTTTTTCCTCTATCGTCATCCTCACAACTATTTTCTTAGGTTGAACTTTACCACTGACTTTCTTGGAACCCTTGGCATGATATATATAATAAGAACTTTTATGTTCAGAAACCAAAAAAGCAAAAAAAAAAAAATTATATTCTTCAGAAAGAATTCAAGCGCAGTTGTCACTAGGCAGAAGACACTGGTAAACTGAAGCACAACATGTACTTGGTAAGCCCATACGTGTATCAACAAACTCTAGCACTGAGGCAAACTTCGAGTACCAAGTCAAATTTTTAAAAGAAATTTAAAAACCGAGGTTCCACTGTATTTGAAGGTCAACAGATCATCATACTGTGTGCTAATGTTTGCCAAAAGCTAAGTGTATAAATCAAGCATATATGTTACATCATTGTTGTTTGTGCTTTTTAGGGGTCTGAAGCCATACTGACAAGAGCTAAGTACATAGTGAATATCATGATTAACTAGGTAGGAGTAAAGCTGCTTGAGCATTAGTTTCTTGAGCATTAGTTTCTAAGTATTTCATATAATGTGGATAGTTTTGTTATTTGTCAATAGTTAATGTCAGTTTGATTTTCACTAACATCATCGTTAATCTTGTCACATATTACTGTAAACACCAACATCAGGAAACTCTAATTTTGTCGAATATTTTCTGCAAATAACCAAATCAGAAGTCTTACCAACAAGTCTTCAAGTCACCATCTTGCCAAATCTTACTGCAAACAACCATCATCAAGAGACTTAAATTTTTTAACCATAAATTCAACATGTTAAAGCTTGTACTTACCTGAATCTGAGAACGTTCTTCATTACTGATGCCACGAGACTGGAGAGAAACGATAAGAGTGATTTTTGACTCCACCCACACTCTCACCTCCTCCTGTACGGTAACAAACCTGCCCCATAACTCCAGGGCTGTTTCATACCGCAGAATAACCTGAAAAAGGGAAATAATAAATAATAATTTGTTGGCAACAGGAATGCTGTGTATGTACTGTATGTATGTATGTATGTGCACACATGCATGCATGTGCACACACACAACAATAAGCTTGTATCAAGGTCAAACTACTGACCCTTTTCATGATGTAATCCAACAACATCTGCCTAATTCATGGGAACCTATTTACTGCTAGGTGAACAGAGTCATTAGGTGAAGGGAAATGTGCCTAACCATTTCAAGCCTTGTCCAGGACTTGAACCCAGGCTCTCTGATTGTAAGTCAAAAACAAAGCTCATTGCAAAGTTCTGTTGTTATTTTTGTAAATATTTTATATAAATCTGAATAATTAAAAAATATATATATTTTTACAATTTCTCCCAGTTAAAAAAATTCTTTATAATTTTAAACATATAAAGACCACAAGTTATAATGAAGCAAAAATGGAAGAACCACTATCTTACCGATTCTAGTCTTTGTGAAACACTATTCCAGCGTGTTAGTTGTGTCTCCACATAATGGGTTTTCTCCACATGTACTGCTTGAGTCTTCAGCATCTCTAAGAGATTCATATTAGAGACCATAGATCCCTGAAGGTTCTGAAGTTCTTCTACATGCTTCCTCAATGCAGCCCTATTAACAGAAGGCAAGTCCAAGGCACTTTCAAGAAGGTATTCAACTTCCTGCAGGAAGCCATCTACTGCATCAGATGAAGACATGAATTTCTGCCACATTTCAAGGCGATTTTTCAAGTTGGTTTGAGTTTCATTAATACTCTCTGCCACTGCTTCAAGCCGCTCTTGAAGAGCTGCAACTTGTAATGTTAATTCTGATAGATGGCAAGGGTGATGGGGGTCTTGACTTAAAGTTTCCATGCATTGTTTTACCTTGGTGATATCTTCTTCAGTACGGGCCAAACTATCATAAATTGTTTGACATGAATGAAGTGCAGCCTTGAGGATCTGTTCACCTTCTTTATCTACTGCTTTACACCTTTCCATTGTATTTTCAATATGTCCTACTGTGAGAGAGATGCGTTCTACACGGCTGACAGTTTTTTGAACATGATCCAATGTGTATTCTAGTGATGCTATACGCTGCTGGATAGTACAAATCAGCTCTTGACAAGTTAGAGACAATCGACCAAGGGTGTCTAATGTTTCTTCATCTTGCTCGTCCTCAGTACTGGACACTTTTGTTAAATGGTCTAAGTTTTCCTTACTGTTCAAAATTTTGATGCGCAGCACCTTATAATTTTCTGATATATCTCTGAGTTGCTGTATTGATGTCACATTAGTATCAATGTTCTGTAAGGCAACTTCAATATTTGAGAGTGTATCTTGAGTTTCCACCAGTAACTGTGGAACAGGAACTACTTGAATCTGGATCCGGTGTAACTCTTTTTCCTTCTGCTGGAGAAGTTCCTCAAGTTCATGCCACTCACTCTTGAACTGTGAGAGGAAATGTCTCTGGTGTGTTTCATCTGCCATATTTACTAGACCCACTGATTTATCAAAGTGGTTCATGCATTCATTTAGTAGTACACTCTGGCTATCAAACTGGGCCTTGAGATTCTGAAAAAAATCAAGTAAAAATGAAAAATAAAAAATGCAATTGTGATGTCAAAATTAAAGCATTCTTGCATGCTTATATCATTTACAATTCTTAAAAACCAAATCTGAGTAATATCTGTTTGATGCATACAGTATTTCCATTTACAAACTCATTGGAATAGTTGGCTTTATGTTCAACTATATACAAACATTTTGGATGTTTCCAGGTACTGAAGGTTTAATAAGGAATATCTGATTCACTTGCCAACAAATTTAAAATGTCTATTTGGCTATTATATTCTTGAAGCAGCTGTCTTTTGCTCTAAGTCAGAAACAAGAAAATGTGGAAAGTATAAGATCTGTAATAACTAGCAAAAGAACAAAAGAAGAAACAGGAAAAAAGATAAAGAAACAAGTAAAAAAAAAAAAGCGTTGAATGTAATGAAAAGCAATTTTGTGGGCGAGTCCCGGAGACTTCCCGGAGCTTACTGGGCTGATATGTATGTATCAAACCGTGACATCAGTCAATTCGATGGAGTTTTAAACCTACCGGGAACCACGAGCCAGAACCTGGCCTCCTCAGAAAGGCATGAGGAGCAATGGCCTATAGAAACCTCCATATGGTTGGAAGCATTCTATGTCTGCCATCTACAGGGTTAGGCACCCAGGAAGGTAGGCATCCCAAAACAAACTACCACTGGTTAAAAGTTGCGACTGAAAGCTGGAATTAGCAAGCAGAACTCCCCAAACCGAAAACAAGCAAACAATCAGCATCGCCGCCGCGCCACTGTCTGCACAGTTTCCCCCCCCCTTCCTGGGAGGGGGGAAGGGGGAGCCTCAGATCCCCCTGCACCAGCTTTCCAACCCTAGTTCAGAGGCTGAATGGAAAAAAAAATGCAAAACAAAAACCGCCGACCGAAGGGAGGGAGGGTTGCCAGCAAGCTTCTTGGACTCGCCCAGAAAATGGTGTTTCATTACATTCAACACTGGTTTTCTGTGATGAGCCCTTCCGGCTCCCTGGAGCGAGTCGAGACAACTGGCTGCAACCTGCAACCCAAAGCAACACATGCCTGATCAGAGCCAAAAACATTAACAAGATACCGTGCGGCCAGGACCCTGTTTGACAGCTAAAAACCCCGAGCCCGAATGTCAGCCCAAGACATGTTACCGAAAACAGCAGCCAAAGCTACGAACTTGCGAATATTGTGAGCATGGGGATAGACTGCAGGCTAGCTGGACCGTATAACCTTGCAGACAACCTGGGAGACCTGCACCCTGTAACAGGGAAGATGGGAAACCAGGTTCACCCAAAGCGCATCCCTAGTCACCGAGGCTGTGGTGCGCAAGTAACAACGAGGAGCCACAACCGGACATACTGTAACACATGATGCACCCCCTGGCTGAACCAACCAAGCATCAACAACCTCTGGAAAACAGCAGTCACATCCTTCGCCAGAAAAGAAGGAGACGGCTGTAAACGAACAAATCAACCACCAAACCCGAAAGAGCAGAAACCCCTGCGCCGGAGGAGAGCTTGAAGCTCCCCAACCCAACCCCCAGAGGCCAATGCCAACAAGAAAAAATTCTTAGAAAAACAATCCTGAACCTAAGGGGCAACCACAAACCAAGTGAGAAAAGAGAGCACATGGTCCAACGAACAGGACAGCTCTGGCAGCACATGAGTAGGCCAAAGGTGAAACAACGCAGGAGATAGTTTGCGAAACGGAATAGATGGTACCAGCACACTGAATGCAATCTGAAGCGGCTCCGCCAGCGTTGCATGATACGAGGCGACAGTATTCGGCACAAGATGACAGTCCTGAGACAGCCAAGAAAGAAAGGACAAAACAACCTGATCAGAACTCACTCACAGGACTCAAGATCAAATGTGCCACTGACCCAACAGGCAGCATGATGGAGCCTAAAACAGTGTCACCCTGAGACAAGAAGACAGAGACAAGACTTCAAACGCGCATGAAGTGAGATGGGACTCAGAGGACGCATCCATTGGACCAATGAGCCTCAATGAGGTTTTCCAGGGACCTTAGGCTGACTGTTAAGGGAAGCCCAGGCAAGGTACATGTACTGCTAACCAGTTATCCCAGAACTATCATCAAACAAACAACAGCTGAACCCCTGCGACATGTACAATCACAGGCGCCTAGCGGAGGGCCACCAAAATAATACAAGTGGTCCTGTAGCCACACCAGGCAACCAAAAGAAATAAAAAGAAAAACCCTACCAAAGTAATGGCTCAGTTAAATGTTAGGCCCACCTCTCAACTGTCAATCAACCTTTTACTAACTACTTTTTTTTTTCCCACACCACACATATACACATACACGCCAGGAAGCAGCCTGTAACAGCTGACTAACATCCAGGTACCTATTTACTGCTAGGTAACAGGGGCATTTAGGGTGAAAGAAACTTTGCCCATTTGTTTCTGCCTCGTGCGGGAATCTAACCCGTGCCACAGAATTACGAGTTCTGCACGCTATCCACCAGGCTACGAGGCCCCTGTAAGTGTGGAGTGTATGTGAATGAGTGAGTGAGTGTGAGTGAGTGAGTGGAGTGGAGTGGAGTGGAGTGGAGTGGAGTGGAGTGAGAGAATGGGAGGGTGGGGTTGGAATATGAATGAAAACATAATTTATTTAAAATTTATAACATACCCAAATCTGATTAAATTGCTCTTTCAGCTTCTCTTGGTCTTGTGGAGTCAGGTCAATATTTTCCAGGGAAATCTTGGCCTGTGAACACCACTCCTGCAGCTTATCCATTTGGGTTTGATAAGTGGACCAGTGGACGTGCAGTTCTTCCAGGCGCTCCAACAAGCGACTGATTTCATGGCGGAGTCCCATGGTTTGCTGATGGTGAGTTTTCACTCGCGTCTCTAGGTGAGTGCAGGTGATGGCGTCTCCCACTTTGCGGACCACCTCCACCAGATGGCCCATGTGAGCCTCGTGTGTGACGCTCTCCACCAGCAGATCCTGCATTGTCACCACACATACATACACACACACATTAGTCATGCCAAGGGTTATATTAGCCCCCTCTGATGGCTTTGGTGCTAGACAAAGTACAATGCCCCTTCTTACTCTTAGCCCAGATGAGGTAGCCCACTATATCCATTTTAATTATAGAAACTAATGTAATAGGTTAGACAACTAATACAGTATACAAATTATTATTTAAGAATGCTACACGAAGAATCTAAGTCAAATACAATAAACCACAGGAGTGTACATTAATAAGATTTATTATGCCCGGAAATTGTTTAAAATCTGCTCTGAAATCAGTTTAAATTTGAACTGATATTACTGAAATTATTACTATTAAATGAATTATATTACAAGTAAAATTAGGAAGTTCTGAATGCAGATGTAAAAGATACAAATGACACTGTATTATACAAGTTTAGCATAGAGCTTCAGAAAGAAAGTGTAAATTAGTTTCATTGCAAACTGTGATGCAATTTATTGCAATGTTCTGATAGTGTTAAAAACAAAAAAACATTTCTCATTATTTACAAATAAAGATGCCATGAGGAGATTTCTCTCCAAATGCCATATACATAACACATTACTATTGTCAACAGATCTTATTTACTGATGTTCACAGTTTGCATGAGTAATATTAAGAAAACAACAAAAACTTGCTAGCTGTTCATTCTATTTCTAAAATTAGTAATTAGAAAAGATAATGTCAAAGGACACCTTTGGATTTTTGTTTTGTACTAAATTCCAAAATAAAAATGTAAATGTTTAATGGTCAATTTCTGATGACATTCCCCACACAAGGACAACCTTTACTATAGCAATATTTGCTATAGATAAGCTTCATCACATTTGCTGATACACCAAATATAATAGCTTATATATTCAATCCCAGTGAGGAAGGAGAGTAAGGCTAATATAGTAAGGTGAGGGCTGGATGACACTGGGCTGCACCACAGTGGCCTACAGCCTGACTCCAGCCTTGGTTCTGCCCTGATGGTGATGTAACTGCATACTAGCTGCCTCTAAGCACTTCCTTCTGTTCTCTACCTGTTCTCCTCCACCAACTCTCCCTAGCTGTGATGGAACATATCAACTACATATATTGGTTTTGGTGATTCTTTCCAACCTTGAAGAAGCTCATCTTTGCTGAAATATTGTCTACAGGGAAGACTTGTCATTTCATTCTGTTTCTCTTCACAGTTTTGTCAGCAATTGAAAGTGGGGTATTAAATCCATAGGGACGAGCAGTGAATGGTGTCCTGAGTGGATAATATGGGCCATAACTACAAGAATGACTGAGGTACTACCAAGGAAAAAAGCATTTCATATGCCCAAAATTCCATTATAAAAATCCAAATGGTCATGGTAATTCGAGATGCTGACTGAAAATTAAAAAATACCATACTAATTAAAGGCACTGAAAGGGTTAATATTTTATTATTCTCACCTCAATGCGATTAGTTTTAGGAATTATTGCATAGTACTATATAGGGATATAGTACTGTCAGTCAACACTTACAGGAAAGAAAACAACTGACCAGAGGGTGAAGGATTCACCCATGCAAAAATATTTGGCATATTATATTCCTTTATCTACACACAGGCTAACACTACTTTTGTAACACTAGAAAGGCAAATTCCAACTTTATTTTAAAGTGAAAATTAAGTATTCAAATTGTAGTTAGGGGTATTTAGAATTACTGTATATAAAATTGTGTACAGTGCCCATAAGCATTATAGACATCTAAATGATGAGTTGCAATACAGACAAGATTTACTAAAATTATAGTTTCAAATTTAAACATGTTCGACTCATAATGCCAATTTTGCTTTTCAATACATGAGTCGGGCAACATTACAAAATAAATGTGGCCAACTGTACAGCATAAGGAGAAATTCTGAAGCTTTGTCAAGCTAGCTAAGCACATTTAGTTATCTATAAAGAAAAAGAACACCCCAGTTCTAAAGAGGCATGGTGTAATACTGTACTGTGTTAATTAAAGAACTTTTACAAACCTGACATTTCTGAAACGGGCAAATTATGAATGCACATACACAAGTGTTATCACAAAACATGATGTATCTAAGAAAATACTAAGGCCATACAATGGGGTCGAACCCATATCCCTGGACTTTCTGTGGTTCAGTGGGTAGTGCGTGTGACTGAGGAGAATAGGAATAAAAGTTTGATCCCATTGTACAGCCACAATATTTTCTTAGGTAGAGGTACACATATTACAAATGTAAACCAAACTGTTTAATATTTTAGTTTTGTACTGTTATTGAGATATAGGCAATTAGATCAATCATTAATGATCAGTAAAATACTGTACGTATCTTTTGATATACTGTCATAAATAAACCTTTCATACATATGCCCACTGGCTCAAAATATGATATATGACTAGAAATAAATGTAATTTATATTTTAAATGATTTTCTTTACTTAAAGATTCAGAAAAATTGTGTAATAGTTTAAGGACCACCAGATACAGCCCCGCTCCTGTGCCAGGCAAGTCCACTACTGGCTCACCATAGCACGTGCTACTTGGAACTTTTTGTCTGAGGAGCTGAGTCTAAAACAACAACAACAACAGTTTAAGGAACTCTTCTGTGGGGAGCCCCATTTGCTCCCAGAAGATATCCATACTAATATAGTGCTATACTATTAAGAGTCATCAGTCACAGAGTTCTTGTTGCATACCAGGGACCAGCGCCAGAACCTGGCCTCCTCAGAGAGGTGCAGATAACAATGGACACTTTACATTTAAAGTATGTCATACTTGCCATCGACCAGTGAAGGCACCCAGAAAGGTAGGCAAAACAAAACAGACCACTGACTGGTTGAAAACTGCAACCTACGTCCTCAAAATAGCAAAAGAACTCCCCCCAGAAAGCAAACAATCAAAACTTTGTTCAACTAACCCCCTGCTCATTCACGAACAAGTAGGGGGGTGGGAGTTGAACAAAGTTTTGCTTCTTTGTTTTCTTTTTGGGGAAGTTCTTGTGCTATTTTGAGGACATTGGTTGAAAACTGCAACCTATCAGTGGTCTTTTTGTTTTGCCTACCTTTGTGGGTGCCTTCACTGGTCGATAGCAACTATGACATACTTTAAATGTAAACTATTCGTAAAGTGTTCATGGCCCACTGCTCTCTGCACTTCTCTGAGGGGGCCAGGTTCTGGCTCTGGTCAACAACAGAGCTCTATCAAAAATCACTATTTCTACACATAAAAAGACTATAACCAGAAATATCCTGATCAGCAACATCAAAATAATTGACAGATACAACAACAACAGAAGATTAGACATAACTGAAGTACTACATATCAAATGCTTGCCAACAAGAGCCTGTTAACACTTAAGTGTTTCCTACTACATGTATCTACAAGACCACAAGAGGTCTTGTAGATACCAGCCCACACCACACCAACTACCCCAGACAACCAAATGATAGTGCAGAGCATAACTACCCAGTTCCCTTGACCAGGGAATACCTCACTCACATCATCATACAGGAAATATATACAATCATCGCTGCTAATTTGTATTCACTTTCCCTTGCTTCCAAAAATATTGATCACAATTTCAGTGAAATACATCATTAATGACAAACATCAGGGCCAATAAAATTGTAAAATAAACTTATAAGAGTTAATTTTTTAACCTCCCAAATGAAGAAGATAAGAAATATAAGAAAGATTCGTAACAGAATCAGTGGTCTGACATTTTCGGTTATATTCAGTAACATATCTCTACAAGAAAGAGTGATTCCAAAATAAGCAAATAAATAAAACTATATAAAATCATTTATACTGAATAAATTTTGTATTTTTTTAAATTATCTATGAGAAAAATTGCATTATGACAGTTATCAAATGTGATACGATATTTTAACAACAACAATTATAATAATAATAATAATACAATATTTTATTGTTAAATTAAAAAGTTATTAACACATTATGTAAGTATTGTCTGTAAAGCATAGTAAAAGACAATGAACTGCTAACCTTGCATGTATTTGTGTTGTCTTCGTACGTGTCAGCAGACACAATGTGAAGTTGGGTAACCTGCTCCGCTGCTGACACCATCCAAGCTTCCTCTTCTTTCAATTGGTTAAGTAGGCGCATCCATTCAGCCTCCAGGAGAGAGAGCTGATGGTTGCGCTGTGTTGCCTTGTCCAACAATCTTGAAGCCCTTAAATAGGACCGAGAGTACAATTGCTGGTAGTGAACACGAGAGCTGGGCTCCAAAGCGGTGTCTAGTGATTCTAATACTTTCTGGCATTGACGAAGGGAGAGGAATAGCTTCTTGTGCTTGGTAATCGTATCAATTAAGTGACTATGATCTCGAGCAACAACTCTTGCTTCTAAAATTGTTTCTGCCATTTCAATAAGATGTGCAAGTTCCATGAGAGTTTCTTCATACTCGGTGGTGGTAGTTGTGAGCCGCAGATGATTGTCCAACTCCTTTTCAACAGAGTCGTGAACATCACAGAGCTCAGTCTGAATAGCCGCCAGCTCATCGCCAACTTGTCGACCTGGGGCTTGTTTGAGATCATGCGAGTTAAGCAATAACTGTGTGATACGGTCCCTTGTTTCTTCATTAGTGGTGAGCAGCAATTCTAATTTTGTGAGTCTTTCCTCAGGTGACATTTGAGTTTCCTGAATCTCACCAAGTTGACACTTAAGTTTGGATACTTCTTGTTCAGCATCAGTAACTGCTGTGAGATATTGTGCATAACGCTCCTCCACGTGAGCAAGATCTTCTTGTTCATTCTGTCGCACTTTTTCAACATGGCTGACCTGTTGACGTAAATATTTCACTGTTTCTATGATAGTAACAATGGTTTCTTCACTAAGAACCTTTACAGCAGATTTTGTCACATTCTCAAGGACTGTTAGTTTCTCCTCTACAATGAAGAGTTCAGTACGCAAGTACTCATACTGTCTTGTCCTTTCTTCAACATCTTCGGTTTTCCTTATTGCATAAATTCTGTACTCGATAGTTTCCAACCATGTACTTACAGTTTCAACTATGGAAATAATTACTTTCTGTACCACAACAACATCCTTCTTTTCTATTGCCAATTGTAACAAGCTTAGATTTGTATCAACTTGCTCCCCTTGCTCTTTACTTGAAGGTTGAGTTGAAGGAGTTAACATTAGTGTAGTAGTGGGGGCCACTGAAGTTGATTGTTCCCTTAAATTTTGACGGCGTTTTAGAATAGCAAATATGGTTTGCCATTCTTCAGTAATTGTTAATTCTTCAACCAAAGGTTGCTCTTCCATAACACTTTGATTTTCTAGTAATGTTACCTGCAAGTCTTGCTTGATTTCAGACTCCCCAGATGGCAGGAACTCATGTGTTTTGACGACTTGATGGTCATCAGGTGTGGGCAACACACTCCGAGGCTTTACTTCAGGTGGTCCTGCTGTGTGTTCATCAATCAGTTCACCAGAAATAACCTGAGAGACATCTCTTGGATGTATTCCTTCCACAGTGGGTAAAGATGAAACTTCAATACTGGTGACAAATTGATCATCCAAGTGTGCAGTATACAAACTAAGGGGTGACTTTTCTCTAGTAGAACCATCCATGGGGGTCTCATCTGCTTCTTTAAGAATTTCTTTCCTCTCAGGAGTAACACTTTTTGTCTCCGGTACTAACTCTTTAGGCTCTTCAATGGCTTGTATGCTTTGCTCCAATGGAGTCATCTCTGTATACTCGCTGTCTTGTAATACAGATACTGTATCACCAGCTTTCAGGTCTATGTGAGTACTTTCCTCAGGAGTATACATTTCGTCTTCAACAGAACTTGTGTCATCATGTGATATATTACTAATATCATTTTCATCAGTATCACCTATTTCATCAGCGGGTGTTATTACAATTGAAACTCCTGATTCTGATCTTGATATATCTTTATATTTTTCTTCAGTATCAAGCTTGCTTACTTCTCGTGCTTCTAGAGCACTTGGTTCATCAGACAATGGTATATCTGTGTCCTCATCAGGCGAGGACATTCTTTGTGCATCTGATGATGCTTTTTGCAATAAAACCTTTTCAGAACTTTTTGGGGGACTTGCTTCAATATCCTGATCTTTTTCTGCACATGTTACTGCTTGATCTGAAACTGGCATTGAGAACTGAGCTTCTTTGAAAACTTCAATCTTGTCATCTGGAATTGAGATAATATCCTTCTCCAATTTAAACTCATATATTGCAAATTTAGGCTCTTGTGCTGTAGCTTTATGTTCTAAATCAGATGCCTGAGTCTGAACAGCTTCATCAGGTGTAATGTCTGAATGAGGAGGTTCAATGATATCCATTATATTTTCTGTTACTTTGACAATATCATCAGCCTCTTTCACTTCATATTCTGGCATTTTAGCTAGATCTAAGGCCTGCTTATCTTCCACCACCTTTGCAAGATATGAGACAGGAGGTTCTGGAGCTGATAAAGGAGACTCAACCTTGGTGTCTATTACTTCATATTCAGGCTCAGAGAAAATGAGCTGCAATTTATCTGCTGCTTTTACTGTAGAATCAGGAGCAATGGATATCGGCTGGGCATCTGCAGCAAGATCTTGCTGTTCTTGTACCTCTTCAGTCTTAAGCTTGAGCTTTAGAATAGGGAGCTCAGGTTCTATAATTACCTCTTTTTCCTCATAAATAGGTGCTGAAACGGGAGGCTGAGTTTCAATCACAATGCTCTCTAAACCTAAAGATGGTGTTGGAATTTCATACATCACATCCTCAAAGAGAACTGGAGCTTCAGGTGACTCAAGAGGCTGTTCATGGCTTACATGTGGAAGAGAGAACCTTTCTTGGTATCTAGGGAACACTGGCAAGTCATCAACAGGAGGTTCTTTGGGATGCTCTGGTAGTGCAGGAGCAGCATCTTGGTCTTCAGGGAGATGAGCATGTTGCTGTGGCATCTCTTGTGGGTAAAGCTGCTCTTGCCATAGATATATATTACCTGCATCTTTGGGATCTGTTAAGGAATCCTTTGCTGGCTGTGGGAAATGATCAATAATTAATTCTTTATTATCAGGGTGTAACTCAGGGTAAGAAGAGATATCACCTTTCCTAGCTTCAAGAGGGAGGCTACTTTGTGACATTTCATTAACATCCTCAGGTTCATCAATAACTTCCTCAATCTCTACAGGTTTACCATCAATTATTATGATTTTCTTGACAATGCTCTTCCTAATTACTGTATGAATGATGGTTGTGGTGTCCTCTGGTTTCATCATGTACTGCTCAGAATCTGGTGCTTCACTTTCACAAGCTTCAGCATCATCCACAGCTTCCTCAACATCATCTACTTCCACAGGTTCCTCAACATTTTCACCCATAGGTTCCTCAACATCATCTACTTCCACAGGTTCCTCAACATTTTCATCCACAGGTTCCTCAACATTTTCACCCATAGGTTCCTCAACATCATCCACTTTCACAGGTTCCTCAACATTTTCATCCACAGGTTCCTCAACATCATCCACTTCCACAGGTTCCCCATCAATGTTTATGACTTTCTTTATTATTTGTCTCCTGACCATATGTGGAGAAATGATTGTATCAGTTTGATAAAGAGCATCATTATCAGTGGCTTTTGGATAATCTAAGGCACTTTCTTCAGAGAACTCTGGCTCTTCTAAAACATCTTCCTTCTCCACCGGTTGACCATCAACTAAAACAATTTTTTTCGATATGCTCTTCGAAATTTCTTTAATAATTGTTTCCTCAGGCACTGTGATTGTCTTAGAAATAACTGAATCAACAGGCAGATCTTGCAGCATTTCCTCAGTGACATCTTCTGGTTCTTCTACAACTTCCTCAGTCTCTACTGGTTTACCATCAACCATAATAATCTTCTTAATTATTCTCCTTCTTATGATTTTGTGGACAGTGGTCACCTCAGGTTCTGTGATTGTCTCAGTAATGACTGAGTCAGCTGGCAGATCTTGCAGCATTTCCTCAGTAATATCTTCTGGTTCTTCTACAACTTCCTCAGTCTCTACTGGTTTACCATCAACCATAATAATCTTCTTAATTATTCTCCTTCTAATGATTTTGTGGACAGTCGTCACCTCAGGTTCTGTGATTGTCTCAGTAATGACAGAGTCAGTTGGCAGACCTTGCAGCATTTCCTCAGTAACCTCTTCCGGTTCTTCGACAACTTCCTCAGTCTCTACTGGTTTACCATCAACCATAATTATCTTCTTGATTATTCTCCTTCTAATGATTTTGTGGACAGTGGTCACCTCAGGTTCTGTGATTGTCTCAGTAACGACTGAGTCAGCAGGCAGACCTTGCAGCATTTCCACAGTAACATCTTTTGGTTCTTCTACAACTTCCTCAGTCTCTACTGGTTTACCATCGACCATAATTATCTTCTTGATTATTCTCCTTCTAATGATTTTGTGGACAGTCGTCACTTCAGGTTCTGTGATTGTCTCAGTAATGACTGAGTCAGTTGGCAGATCTTGCAGCATTTCCTCAGTGACATCTTCTGGTTCTTCTACAACTTCCTCAGTCTCTACTGGTTTACCATCAACCATAATAATCTTCTTGATTATTCTTCTTCTAATGATTTTGTGGATAGTGGTCACCTCAGGCTCTGTGATTGTCTCAGTAATGACTGAGTCAGTTGGCAGACCTTGCAGCATTTCCTCAGTAACCTCTTCTGGTTCTTCTACAACTTCCTCAGTCTCTACTGGTTTACCATCAACCATAATAATCTTCTTGATTATTCTCCTTCTAATGATTTTGTGGACAGTGGTCACCTCAGGTTCTGTGATTGTCTCAGTAATGACTGAGTCAGCAGGCAGACCTTGCAGCATTTCCTCAGTAACCTCTTCTGGTTCTTCTACAACTTCCTCAGTCTCTACTGGTTTACCATCAATCATAATTATCTTTTTAATTATTCTCCTTCTAATGATTTTGTGGACAGTCGTCACCTCAGGTTCTGTGATTGTCTCAGTAATGACCGAGTCAGCAGGCAGATTTTGCAGCATTTCCTCAGTAACATCTTCTGGTTCTTCTACAACTTCCTCAGTCTCTACTGGTTTACCATCAACCATAATAATCTTCTTGATTATTCTTCTTCTAATGATTTTGTGGACAGTGGTCACCTCAGGTTCTGTGATTGTCTCAGTAATGACTGAGTCAGCAGGCAGGTCTTGCAGCATTTCCTCAGTGACATCTTCTGGTTCTTCTACAACTTCCTCAGTCTCTACTGGTTTACCATCGACCATAATTATCTTCTTGATTATTCTCCTTCTAATGATTTTGTGGACAGTCGTCACCTCAGGTTCTGTGATTGTCTCTGTAATGATCGAGTCAGAGGGCAGACCTTGCAGCATTTCCTCGGTAACATCTTCTGGTTCTTCGACAACTTCCTCAGTCTCTACTGGTTTACCATCAACCATAATAATCTTTTTAATTATTCTCCTTCTAATGATTTTGTGGACAGTGGTCACCTCAGGTTCTGTGATTGTCTCAGTAATGACTGAGTCAGCAGGCAGACCTTGCAGCATTTCCTCAGTAACCTCTTCTGGTTCTTCTACGACTTCCTCAGTCTCTACTGGTTTACCATCGACCATAATTATCTTCTTGATTATTCTCCTTCTAATGATTTTGTGGACAGTGGTCACCTCAGGTTCTGTGATTGTCTCAGTAATGATTGAGTCAGCAGGCAGGTCTAGCAGCATTTCCTCAGTGACATCTTCTGGTTCTTCTACAACTTCCTCAGTCTCTACTGGTTTACCATCAACCATAATAATCTTCTTGATTATTCTTCTTCTAATGATTTTGTGGAAAGTGGTCACCTCAGGTTCTGTGATTGTCTCAGTAATGACCGAGTCAGCAGGCAGGTCTTGCAGCATTTCCTCAGTGACATCTTCTGGTTCTTCTACAACTTCCTCAGTCTCTACTGGTTTACCATCGACCATAATTATCTTCTTGATTATTCTCCTTCTAATGATTTTTTGGACTGTCGTCACCTCAGGTTCTGTGATTGTCTCTGTAATGATCGAGTCAGTTGGCAGACCTTGCAGCATTTCCTCGGTAACATCTTCTGGTTCTTCTACAACTTCCTCAGTCTCTACTGGTTTACCATCAACCATAATAATCTTCTTGATTATTCTTCTTCTAATGATTTTGTGGACAGTGGTCACCTCAGGCTCTGTGATTGTCTCTGTAATCACGGAGTCAGATGGCAGATCTTGCAGCATTTCCTCAGTAACATCTTCTGGCTCTTCTACAACTTCCTCAGTCTCTACTGGTTTACCATCAATCATAATTATCTTTTTAATTATTCTCCTTCTAATGATTTTGTGGACAGTTGTCACCTCAGGTTCTGTGATTGTCTCAGTAATGACCGAGTCAGCAGGCAGATTTTGCAGCATTTCCTCAGTAACATCTTCTGGTTCTTCTACAACTTCCTCAGTCTCTACTGGTTTACCATCAACCATAATAATCTTCTTGATTATTCTTCTTCTAATGATTTTGTGGACAGTGGTCACCTCAGGCTCTGTGATTGTCTCAGTAATGACTGAGTCAGCAGGCAGGTCTTGCAGCATTTCCTCAGTGACATCTTCTGGTTCTTCTACAACTTCCTCAGTCTCTACTGGTTTACCATCAACCATAATAATCTTCTTGATTATTCTTCTTCTAATGATTTTGTGGACAGTGGTCACCTCAGGCTCTGTGATTGTCTCAGTAATGACTGAGTCAGCAGGCAGGTCTTGCAGCATTTCCTCAGTGACATCTTCTGGTTCTTCTACAACTTCCTCAGTCTCTACTGGTTTACCATCGACCATAATAATCTTTTTAATTATTCTCCTTCTAATGATTTTGTGGACAGTGGTCACCTCAGGTTCTGTGATTGTCTCAGTAATGACCGAGTCAGCTGGCAGATCTTGCAGCATTTCCTCAGTAACCTCTTCTGGTTCTTCTACGACTTCCTCAGTCTCTACTGGTTTACCATCGACCATAATTATCTTCTTGATTATTCTCCTTCTAATGATTTTGTGGACAGTGGTCACCTCAGGCTCTGTGATTGTCTCTGTAATGACTGAGTCAGTTGGTTCTTCCACCACTTCTGTTTCTACTGGTTCTGTGACTGTCTCAGTAGTTCTAATGTCAGTTGGTTCTACCACCACTTCTGTTTTTACAGGTTCTGTGATTGTCTCAGTAGTTCCAGAATGAGCTGGTTCTACCACCACTTCTGTTTCTTCAGGTTCTGTAATTGTCTCAATTCCAGAGTCAGCTGGCAGGTCTTGTGGTACTTTCTTAGTGACTTTTTCTGGTTCTGCCACCACTTTTGTTTCTTCAGGTTCTGTGATTGTCTCAGTGGTTTCAGAGTCAGTTGGAAGTTTTTGTGGTACAATATCTGTGACCTTTTGTGGTTTTACCATTACTTCTGTTTCTACAGATTCTGTGATTGTCTCAATTCCAGAGTCAGCCGGCAGGTCTTGTGGTAGTTTATCAATGATTTTTTCTGGTATTACCACTTCTTTTTCTCCAGGCTCTGTGATTATCTTAGTAATTGCAAAGTCAGCTGGGAGACTTTGTAACATTTCCTCAGTGACATCTTCTGGTTCTTCTACAACTTCCTCAGTCTCTACTGGTTCACCATCAACCATAATAATCTTCTTAATTATTCTCCTCCTTATGATTTTGTGGACAATAGTTTTCCCTGACTCTGTGACTGTCTCAGTAATGACTGAGTCAGCTGGTAGATCTTGCAGCATTTCCTCAGTGACATCCTCGGGTTCTTCTACCACTTCTTCAGTCTCTACTGGTTTACCCTCAACAATTATAATATTCTTAATGATTCTCCTTCTAATTATTGTATAGGTTGTAGTCACCTGAGGTTCTGTGATTATCTCTGTAATTCCAGAGTTAGTTGGCAGGCCTTTGACCTCTTGGTCAGTGACTTCATATTTTTCAATGGCTTTGACAATTTCCACGGGTGTACTCTCATCTATCTCACTATATGCTACATCTATTGGCATATTAGCAGTCACTTCCTCTGTGTTGTAAGGGCCTGGCATCATTCCCACATTTGTGTCTTGTTCTGTTATGTCTTCTACATTGTCTTTGTGTATGAATTCAACTTCATTTGGAGAAAGTGGATATGTTACAGTATCAGGCATCTCTCCATGTATTGGGAATGGTTCTGAGACAACATATTTAGATTCTTCATCCACTTGTTCACTTAATTGTTTTTGTTTTATATCTTGTTCTTTTATTGGTTTAAACCTCTTTGTATCATCTATCTCTGTGTAAATTACATTAGAAAACAATTGCTCTGTTTCTAAACTTGGCCGAGGTTCTTCCATCTTGTCTGAAGGTTCTGGTATGTCTCCAAAGGGAGTTGGGAATGCCACACTGGTAAGAGCTTCAGATTCATTCATTGGCACAGGTGCTAGCACAACCTCATCCTGTTTGTGAGATATTTCCTTGGTCTCTGGAACATCATCCTTCATGGGGTGAACAACTTCTGCCAAAGGAGTAGCAAGATAATCAGGAGAAATTTCTATAGGTCTGTCTGCTGGATTGAAACTAAGCTCTGAAAATTCTTTGACAGATTCCTCTACAGTTTCTTTTTTATGTGGCAAAGGTTGTGTAACATTTTCTTCTGTTTTACTGAAAGCTTCTTTATGCAGTGCATGGACTGGTACAGGAACTGAGGAGGGTACATCATCTTCTATTGTTTCAGTCATTTTGTAATCAGGGATATTTACAGAAGCTTGTTTTAACTCTTCTTGTTCAACAATTGGACTTGGCATTTTCTCAGCTTGAGCATGACTGTACAAAATTTCTGTAAATAACTTGGGTGCTTCTACGTCTGAAAGCTCTTCCTCACTTTCAAGAGGCTGAGGAATGTCTCCAACAGGGAAAGGGAAGGTCATTTTTATATCTGAGTCTTCTGGACGTTTCATGGGAATATGAGGTAAATCAATAGAAGGGCTCTCTTGAGGAATGCTAATATCATGAACAAACACTTGCTTCCTATCATAAAGTGCCCCAGTCCACTGTGAAACTGATAAAACATCTTGTGGTGTATCCTGTGTGTGGACAGTAACAGGCTGGGGAAAAACTTCTACTACTTTCTTATCATCTGTTCTTTCTTCTACATATTTGGGTACATTCATATCCTGTTCATCAGTATCTACAATCTCTGATACTACCGTGACATTTTCTGCCTTTGCAAGAAGCATACCAATCTCAGGAAATGGAATTTCTGAAGATGAGGCAACAGTTTCTTTAAAGTGAGGTAATGCTTTTTGAGAGGGTAGCATCTCCTGCTGTTCTTCAATAGGCTCAAATTTGTATGTATCAACAGGTTTATCAAAAACAGTCTCTGTATACAAATGACTGACTTCAACTTCTCTTTCAGGGTGCCCAACCATACCTGATGGCTGTGGGAATTGGCATGCTGGAGAAGTGAATGGAATGTCATTATCAAACTGTTCTGGCCTACTCATTGGCAACAGTGATAACTCTGCTTGATCTAATTCTTCTGGAATAGGTTTATCCTCTATAATTTCCTCACTCTTGCTGTAAAGTATCTCAGTCCATTGTGACTGTTGAGTACTGTCCTGAGGTACGTCTTGACCACTAACAGTGTCTGGCACTGGGAATGCACGAGTTTCTTCCTTTTCCTGATTTTCAATATTGCATGGCATAATTTTGGATGCGACTAAGTGCTGTGTCTCTTCATCACTTTGTCCTTCCTTTTCTGTACTAGTTATGTGAACAGGCATTGTTAACATTTGGGTCTCTTCCTTGTCCTCTATTTCTTCTTTTGTATCATCATGCATTCCTATGCCTAGCTCTTCTCTTGGCTTTTCAGAAACTGGGAATGGAAGTGCTACTGGAGAGGAAACCAACTCTTCATACACAGGTATATCTGGTGACGTTTGCACAAGGTCTTGTTCTCCAATAACCCCCAACTCATCTGCTTTTAATGGATGAGAATATAATACATCACTGAACATTTCAGTAGGACTTGTTCCTACTTGTGGTTCATCCAATATTTTAGAAGGCTTTGGAAGCTCTCCCACCGGGACTGGGAATTCAGAGTCTTTGTCAGAATATTTTGGCTCCTCTGATGGAAGGGGAGATAATTCAACATCTAACTTTTCTTCTATGTTATCTTGCTTGTCTTTAACAATTTCACTCTTGACATAAACGTTCTCTGCCCACTGTGACGTAGATGTTACTTCTTTTGGTGTATAACCAGCCTCAGATATGAGTGGTGTAGGGAAGGCATGTGGCTTAACTTCTTCCATAACATGCTCGGGAAACTCAGGGGGAGGTTTACCTTCCTCTGCAGTAACTCCAGCTTCTGGAAATGATGGCAGGCTCTTGATTGTGTTCTTGTCTTGTAAAATAAATTCAGGCTGAGGATGCTCTCCTTGAGGTACGGGGAATATTGGTTTAATTTCTGGGGAAGGAGTCTCCATTACATTAATTGGTAAAGATGGTGCACCTAATAATTCATCAGAAATTATTGGGATGTCATCTTTTACATTATGGTGTTGATAATGTTCTACTCTCCAAGAAAGAGTTGCCGTTTGCATTGAATCTTCTAACTGCTCACATTCGTCACTATCTTTATTTGCTAATTCAGGGAAGGAAGGTTCATTTCCACCAAACTCTAGGGGCTTTGCAAAAGGCTCAAGAGTCTCAAATTTAGCAAAATCTGGAACTGGCACTGGTGGAGCAGGTGCATTATGGATCATCTCCGAGATGGTCTGTGCAGGGTCACCTCTTGGCACTGATGGGTAGTTTTCAATAGTGAATATGCTTTTTTCAACTTTTGAGTCTTCTGGTAATTCTGGAGACTGTGATTTGGTTACAAGTGGGAAGTCTCCAACAGGCTGCGGGAAAGGCATAACAGTGGTTTCAATATGTGGTGGTAACATAGGGAGATCTGGTGATTTGATGTCAGTCTCAGGTTTGATCAGCTCAATAACCTTTTCTCTGGTTGTCTTTTCAAAAAGAGGAGATGTAAAGATACCCGGGATTTCGTAAGATTTTTGTACTTGGGCAATGCCATCATCTCCTTCTGGTGAAGGGAAGGGACTTACTTGAATTTCTTCAAAATCTTTTCGAGCAGGCAAAACTTTTGAAATAAGCTCGGATCCTCCCAGTTCAACTGGAAGAGGGAAGGACATTAAAGACTCTTCTTTATAATTTTCAGTTTCCTGAATATCAGGTGATTTGAGCTTTCCTATATCAGACAGCAAACTTTCTTTATCTAAAACAAGTTCCTGAGCTTGGGGCTCGTTATCTTGTGAGAAAGAAATCTCACGAGTAATGTCTTTGAGATCTATATCATCCCAAGATGGATTAGACAGACCTTCACAAGGCTCTGGGAATGAGTCAAATTCAGTATCTTTCTCAAATGCAGTTGACAATACCGGAAGAGCTGGAGCCTCCTCACAAGGTTGTGATATTGGGGCTTCGTTGGTGAGTTTGGCAGGTTTTGGGTAGACATCTTCAACCCAAACACCATCATAGCTGCTTTTTACACCATCTTTTGGTACATCTTCATCCATATGGACTGGTAATGGGAACGTATCTGCTGGCACTGGAAATGAAGCTATTTCTGTATCTTTCACCTGTGTGAGTGAATACCCTGGCAATGGAGGAGCTTGTTCAGTTGTTTGTGGCACTGCAGGCTCATTTTCTGTGTCTTCAGCTGGTTTGGGATAAACATTTTCAGTCCAAATACTTTTTAGTTTGTTTGACATGATATCTTCTGGTGTGCTATCTTTATCTACTGGTGGTAGGAATGAATTATCTGGTACTGGGAATGAATCCAGTTCTGCGTCCTTTATGTCAGGTGAAACTGGTTGCAAGAGATGAGGAGCATCATCAGTACTATGGGGCACTGGTTCCTTTTCTGTAGGTTTAGCAGTACTGGGATAGAACTCTTCATCCCAACATGATTTTATTCTATCCTCCATATCTTTAGGTTGACTCCCATCTTCCAGTTGATTTGGAAATGGTTGAGGGCCAGCGACTTCTATTGAAGTTTTGACAGGGAGGCTTGGCATAGCCTCATTTCCATCATACATTTCTGTAACAGTCACACCTGATCCATCATCTGGCAAGCTAAACTCAGTTTCAGGTCCCTCTACAACTTCCGCTATTTCAACCTTCTCTCCATTAATTATCTGGACTCTCTTAATAACCTTTTTGTATCTTCGTACAACATGATACTCAATGTTTCTGACTTCTGGGGTATCACCTGGTGCAAAGGGCTCACCACCTTCAAGAATTTCTTCCGATAATATTGGTTGGCCACCAAAGATTTTCAGTTCCCGAATGACTCTTGCCTTTTGGTCTGGAACATTGTCATAAGATGATGAGGCAACCCCAGAAACACGTTCCACATCATCACTTATTGGTATTGTAATTGGCTGCATTGCTCCAATACCTGAAGGATACTCATGAATCTCTTCAGGTGTTTCAGCTCTTTCCTCGTCAATCACGTCGCTTCCATCAACTGTGTGCACACAACGTTTAATTTTAATATTTTTCTTAATTACACGGACTCCTGCCAAATGGGTAGGTAAAGCACTAGCAGAATCTACAGACTCTAAACTCTCATCCTCTGGTTCTTCTACATCTTCCTCAGTCTCCACCGGCTTCCCATCAACCATAATAACCTTCTTAATTATTTTCCTCTTAATGATTTTATGGACAGTGGTCACCTCAGGTTCTGTGAATGTCTCAGCAATGATCGAGTCAGCTGACAGACCTAGCAGCATTTCCTCAGTAACCCCTTCTGGTTCTTCTACAACTTCCTCAGTCTCTACTGGTTTACCATCAATCATAATTATCTTCTTGATTATTCTCCTTCTAATGATTTTGTGGACAGTGGTCACCTCAGGTTCTGTGATTGTCTCAGTAATCACGGAGTCAGCTGGCAGATCTTTCAGCATTTCCTCAGTAACCTCTTCCGGTTCTTCTACAACTTCCTCAGTCTCTACTGGTTTACCATCAATCAGAATTATCTTCTTGATTATTCTCCTTCTAATGATTTTGTGGACAGTGGTCACCTCAGGTTCTGTGATTGTCTCAGTAATCACGGAGTCAGCTGGCAGACCTTGCAGCATTTCCTCAGTAACCTCTTCCGGTTCTTCTACAACTTCCTCAGTCTCTACTGGTTTACCATCAATCATAATTATCTTCTTGATTATTCTCCTTCTAATGATTTTGTGGACAGTGGTCACCTCAGGTTCTGTGATTGTCTCAGTAATCACGGAGTCAGCTGGCAGATCTTTCAGCATTTCCTCAGTAACCTCTTCCGGTTCTTCTACAACTTCCTCAGTCTCTACTGGTTTACCATCAATCAGAATTATCTTCTTGATTATTCTCCTTCTAATGATTTTGTGGACAGTGGTCACCTCAGGTTCCGTGATTGTCTCAGTAATGACTGAGTCAGCAGGCAGATCTTGTAGCATTTCCTCAGTTGCATCTTCTGGTTCTTCTACAACTTCCTCAGTCTCTACTGGTTTACCATCAACCATAATAATCTTCTTAATTATTCTCCTTCTAATGATTTTGTGGACAGTGGTCACCTCAGGTTCTGTGATTGTCTCAGTAATGACTGAGTCAGCTGGCAGACCTTGCAGCATTTCCTCAGTAACCTCTTCTGGTTCTTCTACAACTTCCTCAGTCTCTACTGGTTTACCATCAATCAGAATTATCTTCTTGATTATTCTCCTTCTAATGATTTTGTGGACAGTGGTCACCTCAGGTTCTGTGATTGTCTCAGTAATCACGGAGTCAGCTGGCAGATCTTTCAGCATTTCCTCAGTAACCTCTTCCGGTTCTTCTACAACTTCCTCAGTCTCTACTGGTTTACCATCAATCAGAATTATCTTCTTGATTATTCTCCTTCTAATGATTTTGTGGACAGTGGTCACCTCAGGTTCTGTGATTGTCTCAGTAATCACGGAGTCAGCTGGCAGACCTTGCAGCATTTCCTCAGTAACCTCTTCCGGTTCTTCTACAACTTCCTCAGTCTCTACTGGTTTACCATCAATCATAATTATCTTCTTGATTATTCTCCTTCTAATGATTTTGTGGACAGTGGTCACCTCAGGTTCTGTGATTGTCTCAGTAATCACGGAGTCAGCTGGCAGATCTTTCAGCATTTCCTCAGTAACCTCTTCCGGTTCTTCTACAACTTCCTCAGTCTCTACTGGTTTACCATCAATCAGAATTATCTTCTTGATTATTCTCCTTCTAATGATTTTGTGGACAGTGGTCACCTCAGGTTCCGTGATTGTCTCAGTAATGACTGAGTCAGCAGGCAGATCTTGTAGCATTTCCTCAGTTGCATCTTCTGGTTCTTCTACAACTTCCTCAGTCTCTACTGGTTTACCATCAACCATAATAATCTTCTTAATTATTCTCCTTCTAATGATTTTGTGGACAGTGGTCACCTCAGGTTCTGTGATTGTCTCAGTAATGACTGAGTCAGCTGGCAGACCTTGCAGCATTTCCTCAGTAACCTCTTCTGGTTCTTCTACAACTTCCTCAGTCTCTACTGGTTTACCATCAACCATAATTATCTTCTTGATTATTCTCCTTCTAATCATTTTGTGGACAGTGGTCACCTCAGGTTCTGTGATTGTCTCAGTAATCATGGAGTCAACTGGCAGATCTTTCAGCATTTCCTCAGTAACCTCTTCTGGTTCTTCTACAACTTCCTCAGTCTCTACTGGTTTACCATCAACCATAATTATCTTCCTGATTATTCTCCTTCTAATGATTTTGTGGACAGTCGTCACTTCAGGCTCTGTGATTGTCTCAGTAATGACTGAGTCAGCTGACAGACCAAGCAGCATTTCCTCAGTAACCTCTTCTGGTTCTTCTACAACTTCCTCAGTCTCTACTGGTTTACCATCAATCATAATTATCTTCTTGATTATTCTCCTTCTAATGATTTTGTGGACAGTGGTCACCTCAGGTTCTGTGATTGTCTCAGTAATCACGGAGTCAGCTGGCAGATCTTTCAGCATTTCCTCAGTAACCTCTTCTGGTTCTTCTACAACTTCCTCAGTCTCTACTGGTTTACCATCAATCATAATTATCTTCTTGATTATTCTCCTTCTAATGATATTGTGGACAGTGGTCACCTCAGGTTCTGTGATTGTCTCAGTAATCATGGAGTCAACTGGCAGATCTTTCAGCATTTCCTCAGTAACCTCTTCTGGTTCTTCTACAACTTCCTCAGTCTCTACTGGTTTACCATCAACCATAATAATCTTCTTAATTGTTCTCCTTCTAATGATTTTGTGGACAGTGGTCACCTCAGGTTCCGTGATTGTCTCAGTAATGACCGAGTCAGCTGGCAGACCTTGCAGCATTTCCTCAGTAACCTCTTCTGGTTCTTCTACAACTTCCTCAGTCTCTACTGGTTTACCATCAACCATAATTATCTTCTTGATTATTCTCCTTCTAATGATTTTGTGGACAGTGGTCACCTCAGGTTCTGTGATTGTCTCAGTAATGACTGAGTCAGCAGGCAGATCTTGCAGCATTTCCTCAGTTGCATCTTCTGGTTCTTCTACAACTTCCTCAGTCTCTACTGGTTTACCATCAACCATAATTATCTTCCTGATTATTCTCCTTCTAATGATTTTGTGGACAGTCGTCACCTCAGGCTCTGTGATTGTTTCAGTAATGACTGAGTCAGTTGGCAGACCTTGCAGCATTTCCTCAGTAACGTCTTCTGGTTCTTCTACAACTTCCTCAGTCTCTACTGGTTTACCATCAACCATAATTATCTTCTTGATTATTCTCCTTCTAATGATTTTGTGGACAGTCGTCACCTCAGGTTCTGTGATTGTCTCAGTAATGACTGAGTCAGCTGACAGACCTTGCAGCATTTCCTCAGTAACCTCTTCTGGTTCTTCTACAACTTCCTCAGTCTCCACTGGTTTACCATCAACCATAATTATCTTCTTGATTATTCTCCTTCTAATGATTTTGTGGACAGTGGTCACCTCAGGTTCTGTGATTGTCTCAGTAATGACTGAGTCAGCAGGCAGATCTTGCAGCATTTCCTCAGTTGCATCTTCTGGTTCTTCTACAACTTCCTCAGTCTCTACTGGTTTACCATCAACCATAATAATCTTCTTGATTATTCTCCTTCTAATGATTTTGTGGACAGTGGTCACCTCAGGTTCTGTGATTGTCTCAGTAATCATGGAGTCAACTGGCAGATCTTTCAGCATTTCCTCAGTAACCTCTTCTGGTTCTTCTACAACTTCCTCAGTCTCTACTGGTTTACCATCAACCATAATTATCTTCCTGATTATTCTCCTTCTAATGATTTTGTGGACAGTCGTCACCTCAGGCTCTGTTATTGTTTCAGTAATGACTGAGTCAGTTGGCAGACCTTGCAGCATTTCCTCAGTAACGTCTTCTGGTTCTTCTACAACTTCCTCAGTCTCTACTGGTTTACCATCAACCATAATTATCTTCTTGATTATTCTCCTTCTAATGATTTTGTGGACAGTCGTCACCTCAGGTTCTGTGATTGTCTCAGTAATGACTGAGTCAGCTGACAGACCTTGCAGCATTTCCTCAGTAACCTCTTCTGGTTCTTCTACAACTTCCTCAGTCTCTACTGGTTTACCATCAATCATAATTATCTTCTTGATTATTCTCCTTCTAATGATTTTGTGGACAGTGGTCACCTCAGGTTCTGTGATTGTCTCAGTAATCACAGAGTCAGCTGGCAGATCTTTCAGCATTTCCTCAGTAACCTCTTCCGGTTCTTCTACAACTTCCTCAGTCTCTACTGGTTTACCATCAATCATAATTATCTTCTTGATTATTCTCCTTCTAATGATTTTGTGGACAGTGGTCACCTCAGGTTCTGTGATTGTCTCAGTAATCACGGAGTCAGCTGGCAGATCTTTCAGCATTTCCTCAGTAACCTTTTCCGGTTCTTCTACAACTTCCTCAGTCTCTACTGGTTTACCATCAATCATAATTATCTTCTTGATTATTCTCCTTCTAATGATTTTGTGGACAGTGGTCACCTCAGGTTCTGTGATTGTCTCAGTAATCACGGAGTTAGCTGGCAGATCTTTCAGCATTTCCTCAGTAACCTCTTCCGGTTCTTCTACAACTTCCTCAGTCTCTACTGGTTTACCATCAATCATAATTATCTTCTTGATTATTCTCCTTCTAATGATTTTGTGGACAGTGGTCACCTCAGGTTCTGTGATTGTCTCAGTAATGACTGAGTCAACAGGCAGATCTTGCAGCATTTCCTCAGTTGCATCTTCCGGTTCTTCTACAACTTCCTCAGTCTCTACTGGTTTACCATCAATCATAATTATCTTCTTGATTATTCTCCTTCTAATGATTTTGTGGACAGTGGTCACCTCAGGTTCTGTGATTGTCTCAGTAATCATGGAGTCAACTGGCAGATCTTTCAGCATTTCCTCAGTAACCTCTTCTGGTTCTTCTACAACTTCCTCAGTCTCTACTGGTTTACCATCAACCATAATTATCTTCTTGATTATTCTCCTAATGATTTTGTGGACAGTCGTCACCTCAGGTTCTGTGAATGTCTCAGTAATGACTGAGTCAGCTGACAGACCTAGCAGCATTTCCTCAGTAACCTCTTCCGGTTCTTCTACAACTTCCTCAGTCTCTACTGGTTTACCATCAATAATAATTATCTTCTTGATTATTCTCCTTCTAATGATTTTGTGGACAGTGGTCACCTCAGGTTCTGTGATTGTCTCAGTAATCACAGAGTCAGCTGGCAGATCTTTCAGCATTTCCTCTGTAACCTCTTCTGGTTCTTCTACAACTTCCTCAGTCTCTACTGGTTTACCATCAATCATAATTATCTTCTTGATTATTCTCCTTCTAATGATTTTGTGGACAGTGGTCACCTCAGGTTCTGTGATTGTCTCAGTAATCACGGAGTCAGCTGGCAGATCTTTCAGCATTTCCTCAGTAACCTCTTCTGGTTCTTCTACAACTTCCTCAGTCTCTACTGGTTTACCATCAATAATAATTATCTTCTTGATTATTCTCCTTCTAATGATTTTGTGGACAGTGGTCACCTCAGGTTCTGTGATTGTCTCAGTAATCACAGAGTCAGCTGGCAGATCTTTCAGCATTTCCTCAGTAACCTCTTCTGGTTCTTCTACAACTTCCTCAGTCTCTACTGGTTTACCATCAATCATAATTATCTTCTTGATTATTCTCCTTCTTATGATTTTGTGGACAGTGGTCACCTCAGGTTCTGTGATTGTCTCAGTAATGACTGAGTCAGCAGGCAGATCTTGCAGCATTTCCTCAGTTGCATCTTCTGGTTCTTCAACAACTTCCTCAGTCTCTACTGGTTTACCATCAACCATAATAATCTTCTTGATTATTCTTCTTCGAATGATTTTGTGGACAGTGGTCACCTCAGGTTCTGTGATTGTCTCAGTAATCACGGAGTCAGCTGGCAGACCTTGCAGCATTTCCTCAGTAATATTTTTTGGTTCTACTACTTCTTCAGAGTCTATAGGTTTACCATCAACAAATAAAATTTTTGTTATTATCCTTTTGTCATCAAATTTACGAGTAGTTGTTGTGGTAGCTGGTTCAGCTAATTTTTCTTTAGTAAAGGATTTGGGACTGTTTATATTGGGACTGGTAATATTATCCACTTCATCATCTGGAGAATTTCCTTGGAAATCTTCATGCTTGACATTCTGTGGGTCTTCAAATTCCTCAATTTCAATAGCCTTACCATTAATCATCACAATTCTTTTTACTATTCTTCTAATGTCTTGATGTGTAGTGATTACAGTTTGAGGGTTAAATGTATCAGGTTCCATTACTTCCTCTGCTGAATCCAAAAACTTTCCTTCATGTTCCAAGCTCTTCAACATTTTGCTGTGATCCACTGAACCCTCTTCAACTAGTTCCTCAGCAACATCTTCTGGTTCTTCAACTACTTCTTTGATTTCCACTGGTTTACCGTCAATGATGATTGTCTTTGTGATGCTTCTTCGACGAATGGCTCTCACGACAGTAGTTGTGGTGTCTGAGGCACTTGGCTCTCCTTTATCGTCACTTGGCTCTTCAATAACTTCCTCTGTTTCTACTGGTACACCATCAACTAATGTAATCTTTTTAATGATCCTCCTTCTCATAACCTTATAAACTGTTGTAATTTCTGGTTCTGTGAAAGTTTCTGTAGTGATAGTAGTAAATTCCTTTTTCTTGAGTTGGTCTGCACTTATACTGGGATGCTGATGAAGCTGGACAGATTCTACACTAGCAATTGTACTCTCATAATCCTTATTTGCCTCTTGTTTCTCAGTTTCTTCCCGCATCATTTCATTCGCCAGGATCTCCTATAATGAATTTCAGCTTAGGTTAACTGCAAAGCAGACTTCCTGTAGATGCACTATGAGGATATTTACACATGCTTCCTGATGAATACTAACTAAAGATGACTGGCAGCAAAGGATGACGAAGGATAAAAGTAAATTGGACATCCACAAATATGCATACACAAAACCAGTAAACCATGAAATGGAAATGAGAGAGGTGAAAGGATAAAAAAGAAATGCTTGTGACTTAAGAGGATATGAAAGGACAGGTTGGACGATGTTGGCAGACGCATACCTTCAGCTGCTGAAGACGATTTTGAAGTACTAGTCGTGTGTCTGAAATGGTTTGACTCAAAACAGAGAGATGATCTGTCATCTCTTGAGCCAAAGATTCAATATGTGAGTCACCCCGCACACGCTCACACTTACTGCGGAGCTCAGCCAACTGATGTTCACGATGGCGCAAATCACGCTGCAGAATCTGAAAGTAGAATTTTGTTTTCTAAGAATACAACAATTAATTAAAATTCAGGATGCTGTTAAATCCTAGACTTATAACTCATGACTCACGCTATTTTAATGTACCAGACACTCCTCAAATGACAGATGCCTATTAGTTTTTCGAAACTCCAACACCCTTGACCAGTACAGCCAACAGGCATCCACCACAAGGGGCTCGCTGATTGGTAGTGGTGCTGTGTAAAGGGGAAGGCTCTGGGACCAAGCCAACTGGAAGAGGTCCACAACTGGGTGCCTGAACTTCATGCAGAGCCAGAGGAAGGAAGCATTTTCAATGGTCCACTCCGTGAAAACATAATGGAACATGGACCATTGGCAAGGATACTGGACACTACCAGAACATGAATAATATGGAGAGCCAAAACCCAAGAACCCAGAAGAATAGTCTCATGCAGGATCTAGCTCCAAAGAAGCAGGGACTGAACTGACCACCCCCCCTCCTAGTTGAAACAAATGAACCATGGGGGGGGGTAGAGTTCAAATGGAGCTGGACTAGAGCCTGGAGAAATCCATATCCTCTGCAGCACATGCCATACAGCTGCAAACTCCTACATAGTACTGTGTGACAGACGAGGAGGGGAAACCATGGCCCTTGACCAGCTTGATTTTGACCGATGACAAAACCCCAGCCAAGAGACGAGGCATCTGTAAAGACAGGGTCTGGGTCTAAAAATCCCTGGGTCTGTATATTAGGGAAGACCTTGTATGCTCGGAGCTCCTTAACATTACAAATAAGGTGGTAGAGGTACTGGGAGTAAAAATAGACAAAATAAACTTAGTTATTATTCTAATATACAAACCGCCAGATGCAACAGCCGAGGAATTCACAGAACAGATAAACAAAATAGAGAATAGCCTTGATAATTTGGAGAGCCCAATACCTGATATTATCTTCCTAGGTGACTTCAACTTGCCTAGTCTAACATGGAGAATAGCAAACAATAATATTACACCAGGAAATCTATCGGGACCTAACCAACCACAGATTAGAGAACTACTGTACTTAGATTCTGTGACAAATTTTCACTCAACCAGCAGATATCAGAGCCAATGAGAAATGAAAATATTCTAGATTTGGTCTTTACAAACAATGAAGACATAATCAGGGACATTATGATATCAGATACCACATGCTCAGATCACAAGCTCATTGAAGTGCAAACTACCATCAATACTCAGAATAGACCTAAAACGTTGATCAAGCGAGAGGGGTTATTCAGTAAATTCAATTTTAATAATAAAAGGATAGACAGAGAAAATAAACAGGGCACTTACAAACATTCCATGGGAAACTGTTCTAAGTAATACAAGTCCTACAGAAGGAACTGAAAAGCTGACTTCGGAAGCGTATCAAGTCTGTCCTAAACATGTTCCTTTGAGGAAAGCCAGAAAAGGTCCAACATAGAAAGAGAACGCAGACGACACCATAAAAGAAGAAAAAAAATAACGGAAATGCTTAATTAAGCAGATACGACTTTCCCGTCAAAGAAGGAATAATTTAAATAGGGAGACAAAGAAATGACAAAGGAATTAGTGAAATCCTAAAAAAGCATTATGAGGACATGTTTAGCACTCCAATAAACAAAATGAAAGTGGAAGATCCAGACAATTTCTTTAAGCGTGATATCCAAACCCCTGTAAATATAACTAAATATAAATATATAACTATAAATAAATATAAATATAACTGATATCAACACGAGTGTACTAGATTTTGAAAGAGAAATTGAAAACATGCCCATGCACTCAGCTCTGGGTCCAGATTCATGGAATTCAATATTTATAAAGAAATGCAAGGTGCTAGTAGCACAGACACTCCGTATAGTGTGGAGGAAGAGCTTGGAAAATACCAGATGCGCTTAAAGCAGCAGACATAGCCTTCTCTACACAAGGTAGGGAGCAAAGCATTGGCAAAGAATTATTGACCAGTTGCATTAACGTCCCACATAATAAAAGTATTTGAGAGAGTGAATAGGAATCAGGTCACCAATTTCATGGAGACCAAAGACTTTCACAACCCAGGCCAACATGGATTTCGAGCGGGAAGATCGTGCCTATCACAGCTACTTGATCACTACGACAAAGTTACTGAGGCATTAGAAGAAAAACAGAATGCTGATGTTGTATACAAGGACTTCGCAAAAGCTTTCGATAAATGTGACCATGGAGTGATAGCACACAAAATGAGGTCAATGGGAACAACCGGTAAAGTAGGATGCTGGATACTCAGTTTTCTGTCAAACAGTACACAACGAGTAACAGTCAATCATATAAAATCGAGTCCAAGCGCAGTTAAAAACTCTGTACCTTAAGGTACAGTCCTTGCACCATTGCTTTTCCTTATTCTCATATCAGACATAGATAAAATACAAGTCACAGCTTTGTATCATCCTTTGCAGAAGGCACAAAAATCAGCATGAAAATTACCTCGGCTGAAGACACTGAAAAACTTCAAGCTAATATTAATAAAGTTTTCGACTGGGCAACAGAAAATAACATGATGTTTAACCACTTAACTGCGCCAACCGAGTATTCTTGGACGGCGGGAAACTGCGCCAACCGAGAAAACTCTTTTTGATTTTTCGGTACCAATTCTAAATGTGTACGAGGTTGGTTATGTACGAAATGGACTCTTAGGACCTCCAGTGAGAGGCAGTCATCTTGGAAAAAATTCCCAGAATGCCCTAAGGCTGCTGGATGGGTTAGTACTGAATGCGCAACCATGGGTTGCACACGCGCTTCTGGCTCCCAAACAAAATTTGTGTACTGTATCTTTTTGCACTCTTATCACATAGTGACAGAGGGTGTGCGAATAATTTAGTTGACAGTCTACATTTGGTCAGGTCTACATCAGCAGATAATGCAAATTCCCAGAGATACGAAGAAGAGCAGAGGAGAAAAACACCACCAAGTTGATCTACTGTAAGAGGCAGAGCTGCGGAAATAAGTTCAAGTTCGGACACCAAACCAGCAGTGTTGGAAATCACATCAGGGCTGGCCACCAAGGACCGAGAAAGAACACCCTCCCAGAATATGACTCCAGACTGGTTTTCGGGATTCAGACAAACCCGCAAGATACATGCATTTAATTTATTTTAAAAACACAGGATATGGGGCATAATGCAACATGAAATAAATTTATCAACTCACCATATCAACTACCTGCTAGGGAGTTTAGCCAATATTGTAAACCTAACTCAAAAGATGAGATGAACATTGCATTTGTATTGTACCAATGCTCCTTTACAGCCCCAGATAAATGTATTTATCACTCACTCTGGCTTTCCTCAACCCACATTCACTAGCCCATTCATTACAATGTATGATTAAAAGTAAATCCTCATTCTAAAAGTGCTTTTTGCATTTAAGTCTACAGTCTCTCTCTCTAAGCTTTACAATCCTGGCCTCCTACCTGATTTACGGATATCTGTTCACGGATGGCTGCTGCAGACCCATGTGAAATTTCCGTGGTGATTTGGGTATAGGTTTCCGTGACCCAGCATTCTAAATCTTGAAGTAGCTGCTGGTATTCAATCAAGTGGAACTTCTGTTGCTCAGTTTCACTATGTCTTCCCTATTAATTTATGATACATTGGTTAATAAATAACTTTCCCTTTGCTTGACATGTTTTACAAATATTATATATAAATATTATATGCAGAATGTGTAAAATATTTATCACAAGTGAATTTAAAGGTGTCAACTAATTATTAGGCAGAATTACATTATAGAAAAAAGACAATGATAATTATTTTTAATTATTTATACAAAAAAAGGAACAATGGGTTATTTTATTGCAGATTTTGGTGATAAAGTGGTATATGCTTGTAAAGCCAAAGCTTAGGGCAAGTCTTAAAAGCTAACAAAGAAGTTACATTAGGAATTTGCAGTCATTTGTAAGTTACAAGGTAAACAATAAATATTAAACCAAGAAATATAATTAATGACCGAGATATACACAGAGAAATTGTAGCAATTTGAGTAAGTAATAAATACAGTAAGATAATGCTATTACCTGTAGATAAAACATTAGCAATAGGGGAAAGTGATGAAAATGAGGAAATATACTGATGAATTACCGGTAGTTATAGTTTCAGATCGTACAGAACTAGGCAAGTTAGTAGTACAAGGTACAGTACTATGGTGAAGAATTGACATATTTCTCAGTTTTACTTTTGACTAAAGTACTATATAGGTTAACCAATTCTTTACTTCATGAGAAGGGAGTTCCATATATGGGTTCCTTTATTTGCATGGTATGCTTGCATAAATTTAATAGGACTTGGGGAATGTCAAAGAGATATAGTGTACTGTACAGTACTGATTTCTGATGTGATGGTCATGGGGTCTATGACATCCATCTACAATTATAATTCTGTCAGTGACGATGGACTTATGGCTTACTATCATTTATGTTCCTAGCTTACCTCAATTTCTTTTTTCTTAGATTCCGCTTGTGAGCACATGGTTTTCAGACGCATTCTTAGACCAGAGACAGCAGCCTGCATATTCAGCATCTCAGAGTCTTGTTCCATTGTCTTTCCTTTGTCTTCTAAACAATTCAGTTCATTCTCAACTTGTTGCATCTCAATAATAAGTTTCTGTTTAAGAAGAAATAAGGATTAGTCTATGATCCATAACCAATCTGGCTGTCTGTCACCCTTATTTTGCTGTATGAGTGGAACAAAATAAGTGGAATTGGGTGCACAATACATATAAGAAATAATATATAGCAATAATAAATTTCAGTCATACACCTATTATCTGACCTGGTCAAGCTAAAGGTAAACCAAGAAGTTACACTTAGTGACATTTATGGTTGTTCCATCTTCAAATATTTTATAATTAAAATATATTCACAAAACATTCAGTATTGAATGTAATGAAATACCTCTTTCCAGTGGGACCCTTGTGTGGCTCCCCCATGAAGTTACCTACATGGCTAACTTCCAACCTATCATATTCCACAGGTCCTTGTGAGTCATGACACACTACTGGACACCAGAAGCAGAATCTAGTCAGTTCAGCAGAGGGGCAGAGAGTCTGAGGATACTAGCTCAACCCAAGCCAAGAGGAAACCACTAAAAAGGTAGAGCACTCAAGAACAAGCACCCACAACGATGAACATTATACAATGCTCTCATCTCTCTATATTATGCACTAATCTATCTCTTAATTATGGTATCTGTGCATGGGGTTCAACCACTGCAAACCACCTCAAGTCCATCATCTCTCAGCAAAAATCTGCTATCAGAATTATAACAAATTCTGCTTTCAGACAACACTCAGCCCCCTTGTTTAACTCCCTAAACATGTTAAACATAATCTCACTCCACAAATTCTCTTGTGTCAATTACATTTACAAAACCCTGTTCTTAAATGCAAATCCTGCTCTGAAACTCTCCCTAGACAGATGCAATAAGACCCATTATCACCACACCAGAAATAAATATATCTTTGATATCCCCAGAGTCAAACTTAATCTGTGTAAACACTCTATGCAAATAAAGGGACCCAGTCTATGGAACTCACTCCCTAATGAATTGAAAAGCTGTCCAACTTTTGCGACATTCAAAAACAATACTAAAAAGTACCTAATTTCATCTTCATAGTTTTTTACCTTTTGCTTTAAAATTACACTGTATCTATTGCTACCCAATCTCCCAATCCTTATGTACCCAATCTGAACATCTTTACCATTGTGATCAATGCTGTCTTCTTATATGTGCTATCAATCTGCTATATGGTGTCTATTAATCTTGTTTAAATTACCAATCAAGTTGTCAATGTAATCAGAGCTTTAATATACTTACTAATCTCTCTCATCTCATTTTTTTCTTGCAATGTATCTTATCATTTTATTAATTTTGCTAGAATTTACCTACTTAAAATTATCAGTTAGATTAAGGACCTGCCCAAAACGCTGCGCGTACTAGTGGCTTTACAAGATTGTAAATACTATGCTATGTATTCTCACAAACCCAATGTACCTTCTTGTATATAAATAAATAAAATAAAATAAATAAACAATATAATCAATGCAAATATAGCAAATATAGATAACCCTGACAACACTAGTGTTGATCAGGGATAACAAGGGACCAGGGATACTGGATCCACAAACAAAGCATCACCCAAAGCGTCTCAAGTGACACCCAAATAATGGCGAACATTCACACCCAGACAAAGCAAGTGATGCTGTAAAGGCATGTTTGTTACCTTTCTTACTATATTAAAAGTACAGCACAAGGAAAATTATAGTCTGTATGAAAGAAGTCGAATCTGCCTCTGAAACACCAATCAATGCACTCAAATCAGCACATGTCAAACCTTATGAGATGTACTTTACCTTGAGGGGAGAACTCATCCTACTCCATTCTAGGAACAAACATGGTTAACACAAAAGACTAAGTTAAGTGATAGCTGGGAATTTAAATCTTTGTTTAAGAGCCTTAACCACTGCACTGCACCACCCAACATAACACAGGGTATGGTGGTGCACCACCCGACATATGACGGATAGTAGGATATCGTAGGGTTCAAAACACATGCGGGGTGGGTTGGCTATGATATGGATACCTGGGACCTTCCACTGAGAGGCAGCCATATTCAAAAAGTTCCCAGCATGCCCTAAGGCTGCTGGATGACTCAGCTTTGAGTGAGCAATCATGGGTGGCGCATGCGCCTCTGGCTACCAATACCCTGTCGGATGCAGTATTGAAAGATCGCTCTCTGATGGTGAAATTCAGACCTTATTGTTTGATGAAGATAAGGGTAGTGATGTTGATGAAGCAAGGCACAATAAAGACCTAACACTGTCAGATACAAGTAACACAGCACAATTGAGGACACACGGATACAATGAGCATATCCAGTAGAGGCTGAGAGCCAGGAGTGTTACGGCCTCCCAGGCCATCGCACTCGCCATTATTATCATCACCTGAGTCACCCGAGTCATCACCAATTATTTAATATAGTGATACTATAGACGAATCATTTTCTGGGTTCAGTGATGATACTTCTGATACAAGTAGCACAGATGAACAGTGTTAGTGGCTTCTATGGTGGTGTTTATGCTTCCTGTCCTCTAACAAATAACGTCGCTTTTCGCTTGTATGCACTACGGCCAAAAATTGCCGTAATCCAAAATGGAAATTTATTCCCAAGACAGCAAGTTTTGGGTCCTTTGGTAGGTTAGGAGGGCAGCAAGTTCTCCTAAGGTTTCAAAACGTCATGAAAACTGTTAATTTAAATTGTCCTTACCTAACCTAACAGACTAAGCCTAGAGGACCCATAACAGAAAACAAGACAGTACGTCACTTTCGCAAGCCGCTTCCATTTTCTATTAAGGCAATTTTTAGCCTTAGTGCGCATAGGAGCGAAGAGCAACGCTATTTGTAAGAAAATTACAAAAAAAATTTAATTGTAAACAATTAAATTAAATGTAAACGTCAGTACACTACAAGAGTGTGTAGTTTACTGACGTTTGATGGATTGATAATGGTGAACGAATGGATGATGAAGAATTGGAGAAGAAAATTTATTCAAATGAATCTGATCAAAGGAGAGAAATGTCCACATGATAATATAGTATGGTGAAAGCATCATGATGATGTGGATGATGGTCAAAGGCTACACTGGATAAGATCACACGTTTTAACAGAAACTTTATCTGTAACTTTTAATCTGTAAAAAATTACCAGGATAATTTTTAAATTAATGTGGCACCTGTGTGCCCAGTTTTCCCAACTGACACAGCAGTGTAGTGAAATCCATATACATATTAATAATTAACAATACAATAAATAATAAAGAAATAAGTAGAAATGATGCATGGGCTAAACAACCCAGACAACAAATACTCAAGTTGCAGAGAATATACATTCTTATATAACATTAACATGTTAATGTTCATGATCAATGGAAGTAAATTACACCAAAGGCTGTTCATCATACCTGTATAGAAGTTAACTGTTCAACAACAGTATAATCCACAAGAGCCTTGATTCTCTCCTGGAAGCTATCAAGTTTGTGTTGCACTGCTGATACTTTCTTCTTGGCTTCCTCCTGCTCCAAAAAGGACACGAAAAGAAAGGTTAGCTAGATAATCTTACAAGGAAAATAATTTTCTAAAGGGTAGTACACACAGGGCAGTAACGGAGTTCAATTAATGTATGAAAATATTTTAATGATACTGTCAACATTTAATTTTGGGAAAACATTACAAATGCAGTGGAACCTTGGTTTACGACTGCCCTAGAGGACGAATTTTTTGGTTGGTGACATCAAATTCATCGTAAAATTTGAATTGGTTTACAACGGTTTACTTGGAAGACAACGCCTGTTCGTATGAATAGGGATCGAATGAGCACGTGGTGCTGGGAGTGCGGGGCGAGGCACTCTCAGTTTGTTTACAACTCTATTCTGCATAGTGACGACTGTGGCAGCGCTTGAATTCTTTGTAAAGAATTTCATTGCCTGATTTTTTGCTTTTTTAAAATTAAAGTTCTTATTGTATATTATGCCATGGGTCTCAAGAAAGTCAGTGGTAAAGTTCAACCTAAGAAAATAGTTGTGATGATGATGATAGAGGAGAAACAATAGATCATTCGTAGTGAGACAATGTGATGTCTCACTACAGACAAGTGTTAAAACATAGGGAAAAACAAGTGTTTATAGATAGATTCTTAGTGAGACAAGCAATCAGTGAGCCACAACCAGGTCCTAGTGGTATGCAGGCAAAATGTAGGAGAGAGAGTACCCTCAGAGAAGTCATCACTACCTGATGTTATAATGGAAGGGGGACTCCCCTTCCAACAGCTGCCTCTCCTCCTCCCCTTCCCTCCCCCACCGCCCTCACCGTCTTCCATATGCCAACAAGAGTCCTCATTCAAGGTAAGATAGACATACTGTATTGTAGCTAGTACAAAATGAGTGTCATTTGGTATAAAATGTACTTTTAAGTTAATATTTTTTTGGGGTGTGGAACAGATTAATTCAATTTACTGTATATAATTTCTTATGGGAAAATTCGTTTTGGTTGAAAATTTTTGGGTTGATGACGCGTCTCCAGGAACGGATCACGATCGTAAACGAAGGTACCACTGTGAAAGTAAATAACAATGGTAAATAGCCTAAAGGAACAAAAACCCACAACACACATTCCATTACAAAATTTTATATTAAGGATTAATTCATGCTTCACACAAATACAACACTATACAGTACTGGTAAATAATTCTGAAAATGTGAAGTTTAGGATCACTGCATAATTAATCAATGTGATTTTTTTTTTTAAATTCTTCACACAATATTACTGTTTTCTGTGGAGAGCCCCTTCGGCTCCCCAGAGCTATACCGGGCTGATGTGTATATATATTAGACCGTGGCAAAAGTCAGTCAAAGGAGTTGTAAGCCTACCGGGGACCAGAGCCAGAACCTGGCTCCCCTCAAGAGAGGCACGAGGAGCAATGGCCTAAAGACCCCCCCCCCCCCCCCCCCCCGTGTAATTGGAAGCAGTCTTTGTCTGCCATCTACCAATTCAAGAACCCAGAAAGGTAGGAATCTCAGAACAAACACCTGCTGGTCAAAAATTGCAAACCGAAAGCCGAACTAGCAAACAGAACTCCCCAATTAAAAACAAAGAAACAAACAAGACGTCACCACAACAGCTGTGCATCCGTCTGTGCAACCCCCCTCCCGGGAAGGGGATAGGGTGGGGTCCCAGACCTCCACGCTGGCAACTCTCCTCAGTTCAAGAGGCTGTTGTGTTGGTGACAGTCGATCGCTCTGGCCCACTCTTTGCTCAGTGCTGCAGTGTGGTGTTGTTGCTCTGTTTTGGTGGCATGTGAGCTAGAAATAACACAAGAGTACTGGGGCTGCATGCACCTAGGGCTACCTTCCCTAGGTGCCCCGTAAGTATTGCCTTGTGGTGGTAGGACCACTTGTAGGATTTTGGTGGCCCTCCATTTGGTCCCTGTGCTTGCACACGTCGCAAAGGTTCAGCATTTAGTTGTTTGCTTGGTAGCTCTAGGATAACCGGTTAGCAGTACCTTGCCTGGGCTTCCCTTAGCAGTCAGCCTAAGAGCCCTGGAAACCCCCTTTGGGGCTCAGTGGTCCAATGTAGGAGACCTCCGAGTCCCACCTTGCCTTATGCAAGTTTAAAGGTTGCTCTGTCCCCTTGTCTCAGGGTGACACTCACCGTCTGCCTCCACCTTGCTACCTATTAGGGTCAGTGACACCTATGACCCGGAGTCCTGTGAGTGGTGTTCTTTGCTTGTACTCCATTCACCCAGTCCACTGAGACTGATATTCGGGTGCAGGCAGCTTTAGCGTTGCCATGCGAGGTTTAGGTTCTAAACCTCGCATGGCAACCTAACCTAATCTAAACCTAACCTAACCCAACTTTCTGCATGTCATGCAGAAAGTTGGACAGGGAATGAAGTGATTAAAACCTGAAAGGTCAAGAATGAACAATATATCCAGCGAGTCCCACCTGAGGCCAGGAACAACCAGAACACCCACCTCAGAATGGGGTTTAATTCGACCACTCCAGCATCCAAGCTCTCTGAAATGAATGAGAGGAGCTGCAGAGTGAACTACTGGCCCCAGATCCCAACACCAAAGGAGAGGTTGAGGACCCCTCCACTGTAAGCCCTGAGACACTACCCAGAAGGCACATGCACTGTGCGACCAAGAACTGGCAAAACAGGCCAGACATTTCCCTCAGCACCTTGAGTTGATATTGAGTTGGATGGCATGACCCCACAAGAGTCATGCCAACCAGAAGGAGCAAAAGCTAAAGAAAACATATCAGCCTGAGAATCTAACTTTTCTGGAAGCCTACCCTGACCAACAACAAGTGAAGACCTGCCTCAGAATTCCCCTGAGCAGTGGGGGCAGATCCCTTCTGCAAAAACAGACAACTGAGCAGCTGAAATGCGACTGCTGCAGCTAAAAGAACTGAAGACATAGCATGCTTTGAGAAACAAGAGGCAAAAATGGGGAGGAGGACAAAAGGAACAAAAACTAAGCCAAATCTAAGGCACAGACCAGAACAGCCTGCTAGCATGACAGGCGAGCAGAATAAATGCCTGGCACTGCCTCTCGAAGGAGAGGAGCAAGCAACTTGGGCAGTGCCTCTAAGGCCCCAACTGCAGGCAACAAGGGCACAATCCCAGGCACACCAATCAAGGCAAGAAGCCACCACAGAGCTGACAAGAGACCAGCCCCACAACAACTCTTGTGGCTGGGGAGGGAGGAATGTAACTCTAACTTATCCATCTCAAATTACAGAAACACACCCTTCATATTAACCAAATTCCTCTTCCTCATAGAAAACCAGCGACCAATCAGGGTGAAAAGGCACTCGGTTACCAAATTTACAAAATTTACCCAACAAGCTCTGGAGCCAAACTGCAGGTACATAATTAAAATAAAAAATAAAAATGCACACAGAAATAAAATATGAAAATCAATCCTTGGATGAAAATTTTGTTAAAACCCTAGAAAACAAAGCTGATCCTAAAATTCACATTTACTAACACTGTTGTTAAAAAGACAAAGTCTTCAATGTGTTTAAATACATTTTAAATATGTAAAGTACATTATACTGTAAACAAAATTCAGATGAGAGTTTCAGATTGCAGCAAAATATAAAAATAAATGTATATGTATACTTAATAGGCTTACATTGTTGCTATAGGAACTCATGTCGCAAAAGAACTCATTTTGTAGTAATGGGGAAAGTGAATACAAATGAATTGAGACAGCAGTAGTTACATGGAGGTAAAAATAGTCATTAGGTGGCTATTTTGTGAAGGAGACTAGGTAATATTGGCCTGCAGTCTCAATAGTTGGCTGGGCATAATGTATGGAGTTTTAGTTCTTTCTTGGTCTTGAATATGGTAAGACCTACCTAGGTGTAAGCTGGGTGTTGATAATTGAATGAGAGTGCCTGATATACCAAGTGCTTCAGCTATGATTAATTTACCATTCTTGCTGACGGTCAGTTATTTTTGTGTTACTGGTCACGATATTTCTGGAGAGGATCCAGTTGTGTGTAGAAATTATGATAACTTTGATAGAACCTTGATTGTGTATTATCAGATGCCTTGAGATGTTGACATCTTACCTATACTGTACCATATACTGTACTGTATAAAGAAATTATTAAGGCTGACAAGCTTCAAGTGGGCATGTAAAGGCATATGCAACATTTGTCTCTTTCACGTGTAATTACCTAAGTGTAGTTACAGGATGAGAGCTACGCTCGTGGTTTCCCGTCTTCCCAGCACGCTTTGTCATATAATGCTTTGAAACTTTCAACGGTCTTGGCCTCCACCACCTTCTCACCAAACTTGTTCCAACCGTCTACCACTATGTTTGCGAAAGTGAATTTTCGTGTGTGTGTGTGTGTGTGTGTGTGTGTGTGTGTGTGTGTGTGTGTGTGTGTGTGTGTGTGTGTGTGTGTGTGTGTGTGTGTGTGTGTGTGTGTGTGCGCGCGCGCGCGTGTGTGTAATTACCTAAGTATAGTTACAGGATGAGAGCTATGCTTATAGTGTCCCGTCTTCCCAGCATTCTTTGTTGTATAATGCTTTGAAAGTACTGATGGTTTTGGCTTCTACCTCCTTCTCACCTAACTAGTTGTGTATGTGTGTGTGTGTGTGTGTGTGTGTGTGTGTGTGTGTGTGTGTGTGTGTGTGTGTGTGTGTGTGTGTGTGTGTGTGTGTGTGTGATTATATATATATATATATATATATATATATATATATATATATATATATATATATGTCGTACCTAGTAGCCAGAACGCACTTCTCAGCCTACTATGCAAGGCCCGATTTGCCTAATAAGCCAAGTTTTCATGAATTAATTGTTTTTCGACTACCTAACCTACCTAACCTAACCTAACCTAACTTTTTCGGCTACCTAACCTAATCTAACCTATAAAGATAGATTAGGTTAGGTTAGGTAGGGTTTGTTAGGTTCGGTCATATATCTACGTTAATTTTAACGCCAATAAAAAAAAATTGACCTCTTACATAATGAAATGGGTACCTTTATCATTTCATAAAAAAAAAATTATAGAAAATATATTAATTCAGGAAAACTTGGCTTATTAGGCAAATCGGGCCTTGCATTGTAGGCTGAGAAGTGCGTTCTGGCTACTAGGTACGACATATATATATATATATATATATATATATATACACACACACACAGTATATTTTTGTCGTTTTCACCGACAAAAAGGTTTAGATTTATGATTCTGGTATGAATCTTCTCGATATTCCTTATGTTTTTCTTCACTGAAGCAGGAAGATTAAAAATTAACTCTCCAAAGTTCATTTTTACTTATTATTTGGGTCTGACACCTAGTGATGCGTTTCATAAAGTCTCACTTCACATTCTCAAAGACAAATTCTTCTGTGTTAGCACCTGATTATATCCTCTAATGGTGAGGTGGTAGGTAACATGGGTGAATGACATACATGGGGTAATGAGGTACTGTAAAATGGGCTCCTATAAAATGGGGTCCTATATAACAGGGTAGTAAATTAAGAGTGGGACATGTTGGCAGTTTATATTCTTCTGGATGCTTCCATTCCTGTTGCAGGGACATTCGTTCCTGCTTCTGTATTGGCCCGGGGTCTTGAAGTGGGTAGAGTGTAACTGTGTTTTAGCTGGTTATTGATTTCTGGTCTAGATTTCTTGATATGCAGCGCTTCACTTTACTTCATTTTCTATTGTCATTGTATCTATCAATTATTTCGGTGATGCTCGTCAAAATATCCCTGGTGATTGTCTCGTTGTGTGTGTGGCGATTTTTCTTGATGAAATTATTTTTGAAAAAAAACAAAATGAAAAATTTTTCTTGATGAAAATTCCTTGATGGAGCCCCTGTTGTTTGTGCATTGTTAAATGCCTAGAGAGTGACGTTGTTGTCTTGCCTATATACTGAGTTTGTTGGGGCTCACAATCCCCAAGTGGGCATGTGAAGGCATAAACAACGTTGGTCTCTTTCAAGTCGTTTTTCTTGGTGTCGAGAGAATTCTTCATTAGCAGGTTGGTGGTTTTCCTACTCTTATAATATATTGTTAGTTTTATTTTTTGGTTGACGTCAGTTGGGGTAACGTTCCTCTCAATGATCTCAGAGTTCTTTCCTCTGCTTTATAGGCTGTGGAGAGGTTTCTGTAGAACAATTTTATTGGAAGTACAGGTATTGCGGTATTAGTTGTTCAGTTGCCTGTTGCGCACCTCGCCACCTTCCTTTTTATTACGTCTTCAACATAACCATTGGAGAAACCATTGTTGACCAAAATCTGCCTTATTCTACATAACTCCTCATCCACCTGCTTGCAACCATCTAAAAACCCACCATCTACTGCAGGTATGTCAACGACATATTTGTACAAGTCCTGGATACCAAACGACAGTTGCAGTTGAAGGAAGCTTTCGAGCAAAACACAGCTTTAAACTTTACTTATGAGATGGAGAGTGGGGGTAAGCTGCCCTTCTTAGATGTAGCAGTCATGCAAAGGAATGACAGCTTTCATCATGCAGTATATACTAAGGAGATAAACACAGGGATGTGCCTTAATGATGATAGCGACTGCCAGAAGAGATACAAACAGAGTGTTGTGAATGCTTACGTCGACCGAGTTCTCACTCACAGCTCTGGGTGGAAGGAAGCAGGTGGATGAGGAGTTATGGAGAATAAGGCAGATTTTGATCAACAATGGTTTCTCCAATGGTTATGTCAAAGACATAATAAAAAGGAAGGTGGCGAGGAGTGCAACAGGCAACTGAACAACTAATACCGCAATACCTGTACTTCCAGTAAAATTGTTCTACAGAAACTTCTCCACAGCCTACAAAGCAGAGGAGAGAGCTCTAAAAGAGATCATTGAGAGGAACGTTACCCCAACTGATGTCAACCAAAAGATACAACTAACATTATAAGAGTAGGAAAACTGCCACGCTCCTAATGAAGAATTCTCCCGACAGCAAGAAAAACACCTTGAAAGAGACGAACGTTGTTTATGCCTAAACATGCACACTTGGGGATTGTCACCCCCAACGAACTCAGTATATAGGCAAGGCAACAACATCTCTCTCTAGGTGTTTAACAATGCACAAACAACAGGGCTTCATCAAGGAACATAAAATCGCCACACACAACGAGACGATCACCAGGGATATTTTGACGAGCAACACCAAAATAACTGATAGATGCAATGACAATAGAAGATTAGACATCAGTGAAGTGCTGCATATCAAGAAATTTAGACCAGCAATCAATAACCGGCTAATACACAGTTACACTCTACCCACTTCAAGACCCCGGGCCAACGCAGAAGCAGGACCAAATGACCCCTGCAACAGGAATGGAAGCAACCAGAAGAACATAAACTGCCAACATGTCCCACTTGTAATTTACTACCCCATTATATAGGACCCCATTAATACCCCATGTATGTCATTTATCCATGTTACCTACCACCTAACCATTAGAGGATATAATCAGGTGCTAAAAGAAGAATTTGTCTTTGAGAACATGAAGCGAGACTTTATGAAACGCATCACTAGGCGTCAGACCCAAATAATAAGTAAAAATGAACTTTGGAAAGTTAATTTTTAATCTTCCTGCTTCAGTGAAGAAAAATATAAGGAATATCGAGAAGAATCATACCAGAATCATAATTCTAAAACTTTCTGTCGTTTTCAACAAAACATATACTAGTATATATATATAAAGTTCTGTAATGTATATGTGTTTTTTATAAATATAAATGTATATACTGTACCAGATATTATGATAATTCCTGTGTGTAGAAAATCTGAGATAGTAAACTTCTAATGTCCAAAAATCCACCTGCACCTGCTAAGTGCCTCATTCTGTAGTGTTATTCTCTCATCCTTTTTAATCTGCTGACAATATTTTACCTTTCTTTTTCAATATAAATGCTGAAAAACTCGGCATAAATGCCAAGTTTTATTTTGTATAATCTTATCTATAACAATGCATGGTACCTAATGCATAAACATAATTTAAGCTAAGAAATAAAAAGTCAAACTTCAAACATAACAATACTGTATATAACATGCAAATTTTATATTTACAACTACTGTACTAAAAAAAGTCTGTAATCATGTCTATGACCACACACAAGCTACAAGGTCCATTGTTATGTATAGTGCTGCTGTGCATAAAAAATTATATAATTCATCCTGAAATCCCCTTCTCTGGCTGAGTGGTTTTAATACTCCCAACTCTTTTATATTGAAAGGAATATACAGTTAAATAAAAGAGGTGCAATTCTACGGTGAGCTCTTCAATGTTTAAAGTCCACAGGGTTTTCAGGATATTTTTAAACACTATGCAGGACTTGGAAGTGTGGCTCTGGGAAAATCAAGTCAAACTATGCACACTAGGGAAAGGTTACTATAAACTAACACTGCAGACAAAGGAGCTACAAAATTCAATAAAGGTGATTCTAAATTCTACTGCATACAAAACTAAGGGAATTCCAATGATAGAATGGGATATACAGTATAAAATACTAAAATTCAAGTCTTAAATTCAAGCCAGTTAGACAAAAACGTCACTAACAAACTAGATTTCCCTACATTTCACTCAGAGAGGATTTATCAAGATCAAATTCTAAGAAGGGAAAGGGACATTAAAAACACACACGCGCGTGCAGTGCTGAAGGCATCACACCTGGTGCTCTCTGTGCTGGGCGAGTGTTGTATTGTCTTGACAAGGGGCCTGCAGGAAAGCTGCCTTCTTGCTGATTACAGTCATTGTTGTCTTACTAGTGGAATCTGCTGTCTGTGTCATAGTCAAACTGTCAGTCAGTTGTGTCTGAGTCATATTAGTGCTTGGGAAACTAGTATCAGTGACTTGGTCTGGGAGACTTGGGGTTAAAGAAAGATATGTGCTCTCATCAGTCCAGTTTGCTAAACCATGAGGGAGGTCAGCCTGCATGATTTCATTCTGGTATGTTCTCGTTGGGCTACCACCTTTATCGTCAGAAGCTGGTGGAGGCCCGTGAGATGAGCCAGAGACATCACTGTCATCATCTTTATCATCATCATCACCCTTCTCTAAAAGTTCACTCACCAGATCGACATTAGCTTTCTTGATCTTGGCTAACATTTCAAAGTAGTTCTTCTCAGCATCGCTGTACATCCACTGGTTACACAAGAAGAAATCATGAGATGCATTGTTGCGAAGAACTTCTTCACGATCCATTTGACGAAGAATTTCATTCACCTCCTGCTCAGCCTCGGACACACGAGAACGATTACGTTTATGATGCCTTTCTCTCATGAATTTGTGTGTTTTATCAGGCTTTTGGGGTACACATTCTTCCTTTACAATGTCTTCATCTTGTTCTGTAGTTAAAGGAAGTAATTTGGATTTAATTTCTTCCGATTCCTTTACAATTTCTACTTCTGGTAATTCTATTCTTGGTATATAAGGCACTATGTCTTTCACACTATCTTCTGGTTCCTCAGAACACGATGACCGCAATCGACGGCGACGCTCGTGCTTAGAGACAAATTCGGTAAAACCTTCTTCATCAGTTGACAAAGGCACCTGTGGTTTCATAGCCTCTTCATCTGAGACCACAACCTTCACTGTTTTTGTTTGGTACAGGATGAAAGATTTGTCATTCTGGGGTGTCTCTTTCTCTGGTTCCTTAATTACTGTCTTCCCATGAGCCACAATATTAGCCCAAGAAGCAGTATCTTCTGTTTCTGCATGATATTTCTGAAAACTGATCTCAGCCTTCTGAATATCAGTTACATTACAGCCCACTACTGTTGAAGTTTCTGAGAGCAAGGGCTCCAATGATTCAGTTTTTGATTCATTCTGAGCATTTGCTACTATTTCTGGTTGTATGCCAACCTCATCCTTTGGAATTTGCACCTGGTCTGACTGGACTAAATATTCCTGGTACTTCATTTCAGCCTCCTGGATTGCTGAGTGGTCATATTTATCCGATTCGCAAATAATAACGTTATCGGGCTTCAACAATGTTTGAGGGCTTGTTTCTGTAGTAATGGAAGATCCCTGCAACAAAGCATTTTCATCTTCTCTAATATGCTGGGGTATAAATTCTTCTTCCTTTACATTCCTTACAATTTCTTCTTTTGGTCGCTCTTGTTTCTGGTTAATTTGATTAAGCTGTGCCAGATATTCATAATATCTAGATTCAGCCTCATTAATTGCAGCCATGTTGTATGAAAAGGATGAAGTTAGTTCATGAATGGTGTTATCACTAGTAACATGCGGAGACATTGGTGGAGAGGCACACAAGGTGTTAGTAGTTGCTGTAAGGGTGGGAACAATGCACTCTTCTTTTGTCAGCCTTCCTATCACATCAACTTGGTGTGGTTTTTCAGGTTCATGGACTGTCTCTTGAGTTTCTGCTTTACTTACAAGCAATGGCTCCAAGGCAGTATCAGAAACTTTAGCTATCATTTCATAATACTTCTTTTCACTGTCCTCTGCTAACCATTTGTCATTCCAGAATGAGTCATGAATGGCATATTTTTGTAATACCTCTTCACGGCCCATTTGGCGAAGAATTTCATCCACTTCCTTTTCGTTTTCAGATATACGATGACACTGGCCTCTTCTGTGGCTATCTAAGCGCTTCTTAGACCTCACTGTTATCTCAACTGTTTCCACCATGCTTTCTTCATCAACTAATTCTGTTTCAGAATCATCCTTCGTTTTTTCTTGCAAATTTGCCTGCTCTATTTCTTCTACAATTTCTACTTCTGGCAACTCTATTCTTGGAACATAGGGCACAATATCCTTTACAGCATCTTCAGGATCTTCTGAGCAAGATGAACGCAAGCGACGGCGTCTTTCCTGTTTTGACACAAATTCGGTAAACCCTTCTTCATCAGTTGACTGAGGCACCAAAGGTTTAGAAACTTCTTCATCTGTGACCACAACTTTGACTGTCTTGGTTTGGTATAGGATGAAGGATTTATCATCCTGGAATGGCTTTTCTACTTCCTCTATGATTAATGGCTTCCCATGTGCAACAACATTAGCCCATGATAAGCTATCCTGGGTCTGTGCTAAATATTCCTGATATTTAGTTTCAGCCATCTGGATTGAAGGCATATCATAATGCATTACCGATGATGCTTCAGAAGTTATGAAAGCTGTGGAAATGGAAGTTGTTTGTCCTTCCTCTTCCTCTTTTGTAATGTGCACCCCTGGTTGGTTTGTGATTTGGACTTCTTCTGTTGGGTTTGTGCTTTCACAGACTTGTTGCAACTGTATATAATGCTTCTGAAATTGTACTTCAGCCTCTTTAATAACTGGTAAATCATGGGGTTTCTCTTCGTGCTGCAAAGCATCTGCAGATGCAGCAAGTATTCGTGTATCTGCTTCAAGTCCATTATCCTCAGTCATAGCTGGGTCATTTATTTGCACTAAGCGTTCCTTGTCCCTGATTTCAGTATAAATTATTTGACTAGTTGTTGACAGTTCTTGTACTTGTACTTTTTCTTGGTCTGCATTATCTTCAGCTGCAGCTAACCGTTCTGATTGCCCAGAATGTTCTTTATCCTGTGTCTCAGCCTGCAATATCTCCAATATATTATAACCTGGCTTTTCAATTTGGATTTTTTCATATTGCATTGTATCTTCAGATAATGTTGATGTCTGTTGTGGTTGGCAGTCAGACAGACCACGCCAGTCCTCAGTCTTGGTTAATATTTTTGATTGATCCAAGTACTCTTGGTACTGTGTTTCAGCTTGAAGAATTTCTCTAACATCATAAGTGATCTTTTCTGGTTGCAAGGACTCTTCAGTTGCTGCTGATGTCAGATGTGGTTGAACTCTTGGCTGATCACTGTTGTCTTCAGTCTCTGCTGACTTTTCTGGTTGCATGGACTCCTGGGACTGTGGCATAGCTTGAGGAATTTCTATAAAACTACAAGTGGTCTTTTCTGTCTTCAACACATCTGCAGTATTTGATGTGTCTTGTGGCTGCATTTCTGGCAGAGCAGTGTTGTCTTCAGTCTCCAGTAGCTTTTCTGACTCTGCAAAGTATTCATGGTGCTGTGTTTCAATTGGAAGAATTTCTGAAACATTACAAGGGGCCTTTTCAGGTTTCAAAACATCTTGAATTGTTGCCGATATCTGATGGGTGTGTACTTCAGGCACACTAAAGCTGTCTTCCGTCTCGGCTGTCGTTACTGACTGAGCTAAGTACTCTTGGTACTGTGCCTCGGCTTGAAGAATTTCTGAAACATTATAAGGGACCTTTTCATGCTGCAATGAATCTTTAATCTCTACTGATGTCTGCTGTGGCTGTACTGCTGGCAGACCAAAGTTGTCTTCTGTTTTTCCTGACATTTCCTGCTGCACTAAGTACTCTTGGTACTGTGTCTCAGCTTCAAGGATTTCTAAAATATTATATGCAGACTTTTCTGGTTGCATTGCATCTTTAATTGCTGCTGATGTTTGATGTGGTTGTACGATTGGCACACCAAGGCTGTCATCAGTCTCTGGTGATGTTTGTTGTGGTTGTATGACTGGCACACCAAGGCTGTCATCAGTCTCTGGTGATGTTTGTTGTGGTTGTATGACTGGCACACCAAGGCTGTCATCAGTCTCTGGTGATGTTTGTTGTGGTTGTATGACTGGCACACCAAGGCTGTCATCAGTCTCAGTTGATGTTTGTTGTGGTTGTATGACTGGCACACCAAGGCTGTCATCAGTCTCTGGTGATGATTGTTGTGGTTGTATGACTGGCACACCAAGACTGTCATCAGTCTCAGCTGATGTTTGTTGTGGTTGTATGACTGGCACACCAAGACTGTCATCAGTCTCAGCTGATGTTTGTTGTGGTTGTATGACTGGCACACCAAGGCTGTCATCAGTCTCAGCTGATGTTTGTTGTGGTTGTATGACTGGCACATCAAGGCTGTCATCAGTCTCAGCTGATGTTTGTTGTGGTTGTATGACTGGCACACCAAGGCTGTCATCAGTCTCAGTTGATGTTTGTTGTGGTTGTATGACTGGCACACCAAGGCTGTCATCAGTCTCTCTCGATTTTTGTGACTGTGCTAAGTACTCATAGTACTGTGTCTCAGCTTGATGCATTTCTGAAACATTATAATATACCCTTTCAGCTTGGAGTGCATCTTTAGTTGTCACTGGTGACTCTACTGGTGGCCTACCAATGTTGATTTTAGAATCGGCTAACTTTTCTGATTTAACCAAGTACTCTTGGTACTGTGCCTCAGCTTGCAAAATTTCTGGCATGTTATAATGGATATTTTCATGTTGCAGGGCATCTGTAGATGTTGTTGATCTTTGTTGTGGCTTTTCAGGAAGACCTAAAATATCTTCACTCTCAACCAGTTTACCTGATAACACCACATGCTCCTCACATTGTGTGAGAGGTTCTCCAGTCAATACATCCCCACCTGCTCTTTTATGTTGCTGTGCATCAGTTACTAATGATGCCTGCAAAATCATTGCTTCATCCACATCATTCTCATTTATAACAACCTTATCTTCAACCATCTCAGTCTCATCTATTACAGCTTTGTCAATTACACGTTCGTTGTTTATCACAGTTTTATCTTCATCTGTGTGACTTTTGTGTGTCTCAGTTTTATCATTTTCCACACACTGATATTTTGTTTCCTCTAAATCAGTTATTTGAGAGATTAATTTTTGATCAGAAGAAATTTTACTGTCTGGTGTAGGAAGAGATTTCGCATATTGCTGTGCAAGATATTCATAATACCTTGTTTCAGATTCCACAATAGTCTTCATGTCATATCTTGTAGAATCAAGATCAGCTGGCATCAAATAAACTGGAAATACTTCTTCAGCTTGTACCACTGAATTTACTGGCCTTTGATCAGCTTCTGGTACACAGGAAATCTGGGACACTTCTGGAGTTATTTCTAGGAATTCAGATGCTGATTCTGCTCCAACAGGAGAAATTTCAATTACCTCATATATTGGGTCTTTTATTGCTGGCATTACTTCTACAGCAGAAGTTATTAGTTCTTGTTCTGTTGCTGGTGTCACTAATACAGCAGAAGTTATTAGTTCTGCTTGTTCTGTTGCTGGTGTCACTTCTACAGAAGTTATTAGTTCTTGTTCTGCTGCTGGTGTCACTTCTACAGCAGAAGTTATCAGTTCTTGTTCTGCTGCTGGTGTTGCTTCTACAGCAGAAGTTATCAATTCTTGTTCTGCTGCTGGTGTCACTTCTAGAGCAGAAGTTATCAGTTCTTGTTCTGCTGCTGGTGTCACTTCTACAGCAGAAGTTATCAGTTCTTGTTCTGCTGCTGGTGTCACTTCTACAGCAGAAGTTATCAGTTCTTGTTCTGCTGCTGGTGTCACTTCTACAGCAGAAGTTATCAGTTCTTGTTCTGCTGCTGGTGTCACTTCTACAGCAGAAGTTATCAGTTCTTGTTCTGCTGCTGGTGTCACTTCTACAGCAGAAGTTATCAGTTCTTGTTCTGCTGCTGGTGTCACTTCTACAGCAGAAGTTATCAATTCTTGTTCTGCTGCTGGTGTCACTTCTACAACAGAAGTTATCAGTTCTTGTTCTGCTGCTGGTGTCACTTCTACAGCAGAAGTTATCAGTTCTTGTTCTGCTGCTGGTGTCACTTCTACAGCAGAAGTTATCAGTTCTTGTTCTGCTGCTGGTGTCACTTCTACAGCAGTTGCAGTTGCAGGCATTAGCACGTCTTGTCTTGCAGCTGCTTCTCTTGTTTGAGATGCTATCACTTGTGATGATGAAATCACTTCTGAGATTGGAGATACCAATGTTATTGGGTCTGGTTGAATTTTAGTTTCTTGAGAGTCAACAACAGAAGCAAAATTTTCTTCTTTATTTAATTCCTTTTTAGATTTAGTAACAAGATACCTTTGGTAGTATGTTTCAGCATCACGGATACCAAATACATCGTACCATAATTCTGAACCAAGGTAAAATGCAGCAAAGAGTTTATGTTCATACTCAATTATATCTTTAGTTTTTGGAGGTGTTTCCCCTCTTTCAATTGCTGCCACAATTTTATCTATTTCTTTTTCTGATTCAGATATTTTGGGTGACTTCTTTGACCTTGATCGTTGTCTCGATTTACTTCTTTTAGGTCGAAGTGCTTGAAGAAAACTGTTTTCACTTTCACTTTCTATATCATCTATGTCTGCACTCATCACTTCCTTTATATCTTCTTTTGTGATTTTCATGGTGTCCTTTTTGCTACATTCTTCCACAACAGCTTTGACTGTTTCTTCAATTTCATCTGTAATTGCAGAGGTGCTGTGAGTTTTTCTCCTGTACCTTCCCCTCTTGGACACAAATTCGGTAAATCCTTCTTCATCTACCACAGCTGGAGACTTCATAATTTCTTTAGAACTTTCTTCTTTTTCTACAACAGTTGGGTTCAGGTAAACATGCGTCTTTTTAGGTTCTTCAGCTGGCTCTTCTACAACAACAGCAGGAGTATGAATGAGAATACTGGCGTAAGTTTTTGACTGATATTGTTCCAGAGGTTCTGAACATTCAGAAGCTCCTGCAAAGCTCACTCCAGAATCATCTTCTGAATGAGGCTCATGCCAGGTGCTTTCCACAGAACCCATTTCAGAAGGCATACTTATCTCACTTTCTTCTGGAGTGACTTCTAATGATTCCATTGATTTATCTTCAGTAGTTGTAGCAAAATAAATACTCTTTACAGTTCCAGCTTCTGCATCAGAGACCATTTCCTTCTTTGAGCTAACTTTAACAGGCTGCTCTGCTTCATCTTCAGGAGTAAATCCACCTTCTGTGATGTCCATCCAGTCATCGACATGTTTAGGCAAAGGAAGAGCAAGCTCAGGCTTGGGTTCTACTGGCTGCAGTACAGGTGAATGTCCACCTGGAGCATCTAACTCACTTGTCATAGCTTCTTCAAGAGCTTCTTCAATATTTGGCGCAATTTTTTGTAATCCAAGTTGTTCGTCTTTGTTGCATTGTTCCTGCAATTTTTCAACCTCCTCCTCCAATACCAAGCATTCAATGTCAAATTCTTTTTGAACAGTTTCACTTTCAGGATTAAAGTGAACTTTTGTTTCTGACACCAACACTACTTCTTGAGATTCAGCTTCTTTTTCCTTCGGGTGGTGAACAACATCAAACTCTTTTGAGGGTTCCTGTTGTATTCCCTCACTTAGTACAGCTGCTTCCTTTGGAACAGTTTCACTTTTGGGATTAAGGTAAACTTCTTTTTCCAATAAAATCACTAATTTTTTAGACTCTGCATCTTCCAATGTTGCTTCTTCTTTTGGGAGATGAACAACTTCAAACTCTTTTGAAAGTTCCTGATGCATTTCCTCACTTATTGTGGTTGCTTCCTTTGGAACAGTTTCACTTTCAGGATTAAGCTGTATTTCTGTTTCTGACACCATCACTCCTTCTTGAGATCCTGCTGTCTCTTCCATCGGGTGATGAACAACTTCAAATTCTTTTGAAGGTTCCTGCTGTATTTCTTTTAATGCAGTTGCTTCCTTTGGAACAGTTTCAAGTTCAGGATTAAGATGAGCTTCTTTATCTGAAACTATAACTATCTTTTGAGAATCTGCTTCTTCAACTGCTACTTCTTTGTCTGGGTGATAAATAACTTCAAACTCTTTTGAAGGTTCCTGTTGTATTTCCTCTCTTAATGCAGATGCTACCTCTTTTGGTTTGAACTCAATGTCATCTTTCTCTTTTGAAATTTCAACTTTAGGTTCTTTTGTGTTACTAAATGGAATCAAAATTTCCTCTTGTATTTGTTCATGAATTTCAGTTTCTCTCACAATAGGTTGTTCTTCAATTTCTGGAGCTAAAACTTCATCCTCATTTTGTGTAGAAGTCTCTTCTTTCTTTTGTGTGATTATAGGTTCATCATCCTCCTGAAGTTCCTGGTAATCATTTTGTTGCATAAAAGCTTCTTCCTTTGACTCTCCTGTATCTTCTTTAAGCATATCAATACCTTCTGCATATCTATCTTTACTGTCACTATCTTTATCTTCATCACCTTTCTTACCTTTTCCCTTCTTCGGCCTTTTCTTCTTATTCTTATAATATTCTTCACCGGGTACTACCGGAAGCATACCACCTAAAGATGAGCTGGAAGAACCTTCCTGCATAGATTGTAAGTATTCACCATGTCCCTCATCATAAACGGAGACACTTGAGGCTCTGCTGTGATTTGTATCAGTAGCAGTAAAGGAAGTACTCTCAAGTGGTGCACTTCTGGTTTTAAACAAATGTTTACGTTCCTCAAGTGGAGTTTTAATCTTTTCCTCTGTGCTGTTAGTTCGAGTAATTGGTCTCTGTCGCATCCACTGAGGAGTCAGAATAATATCGTTGGGATCATCAATAGGAATATGAGGACTGGTGGGCCTAGGGCTCACTGGATTAACTGAAAGCAATGATGTCTTAAAACCATCAGAATCAGCTGGCCCTTCTGGCTTGGAAACTTCTACTTTGCTTGGTATTTTGGGTTTTGTCACAGACTTTTCGGATTCAATATCCTCATTTGATTGAAGGAGCACTACAGCGATATCTGATTCTGTTGTCTGTTTTCTAACCTCAGTAACAGAATCATTCTTTTCCTTGGCCGAGGTCTCTGGTTCCAGCTGCTCAACAGATGTCTCCATTACCACATTTGCATACTCGGTCTCAACAACACTGGTCACCTCAACAACTGCTTTCTTGTCTTTTTTTGAGGGTTTTTCTTTATGACTCTTGGAAATTTCTTTCAAAGCCTTTTCAATCTCATCTTCACCATCATCATCGTCATCTTTTGCCTTGGACTTTTTCTTTTTCTTCTTTTTGTCAGACTTTTCAGGTTTTTCAGTTTGCTTTATTGGAATATTTGTTTCATTATCAGCTTTCACTTCTTTGGTCTCCTTGACTGTTGTATGCTCAACAAGCACTTCATTGTTCTGTTTGTCAGTTTCATCACTTACATTCACAGAAATGTCTTCTTCAAATACTTTTCCTGATTCTTTTTGTTTCTGAATCACTGTTGATTCTTCTGTAAACTTTCCAGAATCCTCAATTTCAATATGCTCAGTTGATTTTGTCTCTAGTTCTGATTCACTGCCTATCTTCTTGCGACGCCTCTTCTTCTTGGAGACAATCTCCTCAAAACCTTCTGAGTCCTTCTTTTGTTTAGTACAAGTAGATGCTTCTGTGTGTTTTTTCTCAAAACCTTCTGAGTCCTTCTTTTGTTTAGTATAAGTAGATGCTTCTGTGTGTTTTTCCTCAAAACCTTCTGAGTCCTCCTTTTGTTTAGTACAAGTAGATGCTTCTGTGTGTTTTTCTTCTAAACTTGTCATTGAAACACAATGAGGATAAGGTTTCTTGAGCTCTTCTTTAGGTTCCTCTATGACAACTACTTTACCATGTGCCAAAGCAGTTGCGTAAGAAAATAGTTTTTCAGATTTATCTGACTCCACTGCAGGTTCAATCAGGTCAACACTTTCAGGTTCACTTTGCTCCTGACTTGATATTCTCTCTTTCACTTCTACTTGATCCATAACCTCTTGAGTAATATCAGTTGTATGAACCAAGTGCTCAGGTTTTGTGATTATTGAGTATAATTTGGAGTTACCTTCTGGTTCATAAGTTTCCCCAGTCTCCACTGTAGCGGCTGCAATTTCCTCAGTTGTTTCTGTGTGTGTTTCTTCGTCAGATTCGGAATCAAGAGTAAAACCTCCACTTTCAATTATTTCCATGAAATCATTAGCATGATCTGGAACAGGGAGTCCAAAGACAGGTTTAACTGCTTGAGAACTGGGACCTGTTTCGACGGTTGTAGTAGGGGAAATGACAGTGCTAAGCTCAAGGGGTTTATCAGATTGTTCAGTAATGGGTTCTTCATCTTCATCATCAAGTGTGAAGCCACCTTCCTCTATAATTTTCAGCCAGTCATCTGCATGATCAGGTATAGGAAGGCCAAATGGTTTAGGTTCTTCTTGTTCTTTACAGGTTTCTGTTTCTTGCTTTACTTGTTTTTCTTCATATTTTTCTTCTTCAGGAGATATAAAAGCACAAACAGGAGTAACTCTTGGTTGATTTTCACTGCTGTCCTCTTTTTCTGAACTGATAACCACACCAGTAGTAACTTGGGTTGGCACTTGAGAGGTACTCTCGTCTTGCTCGTCCTCGTCATCCAGTGTAAAGCCACCACCTTGAATTATTTCCATCCAGTCATTAGCATGATCAGGAAGAGGTAGATTAAATGATAATTTGTCATGTCTCTCTTCTTCTGGCTGAGACTCAATCTTTGGAGAAGGTTTTTTAGCTTCTTGAGCTACTAGAGACATACAAACATCTGAGGATGTATCTGGAATAGATGGCACTTGGGCAGATTCTTCACCTTCATCTTCAAGTGTGAATCCTCCTTCCTCAAGAATTTCTAACCAATCATTTGCATGATCAGGCAAGATTAGCCCAAATGCAGGCTTAGTATCTGTTGCTTTTTCAGAAGAATGGGACTCTATTCTTCTAGTATCATCAGATGCGCAAAGGACAGTGTTTTCAACACTATTAATGCTAGTATTTGATGTTAAAGATAAAGTATCCTGTTTTTCTTTCTTTTCTGGTATTAGTGTTGTGTCATCTTCTATTGTTTCTTCTTTAACTGAGCTTGAGAAAGTTCCAGGTGCATCGCCTTTTAAAGGAGAAGCAGATATTTCTGGACCATCTTCATCTTCAAGTGTAAAGCCCCCTCCTTCAATTAATTCCATCCAATCATTAGCATGATCTGGTAAAGGCAGAGCAAAGACAGATTTCACCTCTTCCTTTTTCTTATTTGAGGGGTCATTAATATATTTCTCATCTGTATCTGCAGTATTGAATTTCTCCCTTATTTTAACTTGCTCTTCAGTAACATTTTCAGGTTCTTCTACAACTTCCTCAGTCTCTACTGGTTTACCATCAACCATAATAATCTTCTTAATTATTCTCCTCCGAATGATTTTGTGGACAGTGGTCACCTCAGGTTCTGTGATTGTCTCAGTAATGACTGAGTCAGCTGGCAGACCTTGCAGCATTTCCTCAGTAACCTCTTCTGGTTCTTCTACAACTTCCTCAGTCTCTACTGGTTTACCATCAACTATAATTATCTTCTTAATTATTCTCCTTCGAATGATTTTGTGGACAGTGGTCACCTCAGGTTCTGTGATTGTCTCAGTAATGACTGAGTCAGCAGGCAGACCTTGCAGCATTTCCTCAGTAACATCTTCTGGTTCTTCTACAACTTCCTCAGTCTCTACTGGTTTACCATCAACTATAATTATCTTCTTAATTATTCTCCTTCGAATGATTTTGTGGACAGTGGTCACCTCAGGTTCTGTGATTGTCTCAGTAATGACTGAGTCAGCTGGCAGACCTTGCAGCATTTCCTCAGTAACATCTTCTGGTTCTTCTACAACTTCCTCAGTCTCTACTGGTTTACCATCAACTATAATTATCTTCTTAATTATTCTCCTTCGAATGATTTTGTGGACAGTGGTCACCTCAGGTTCTGTGATTGTCTCAGTAATGACTGAGTCAGCAGGCAGACCTTGCAGCATTTCCTCAGTAACATCTTCTGGTTCTTCTACAACTTCCTCAGTCTCTACTGGTTTACCATCAACCATAATAATCTTCTTAATTATTCTCCTTCTGATGATTTTGTGTGTAGTAGTTACTTTAGGTTCTGAGGAGATTGACTTGGTAATGGTGGAGTCAGCTGGCAGACCTTGCAGCATTTCTTCAGTAATATCCTCTGGTTCTTCTACAATTTCCTCAGTTTCTACTGGTTTCCCATCCACGGTAATAGTTTTCTTAATTGTTCTCCTCCTAATGATTTTGCGGATAGTGGTCACCTCAGGCTGTGTTACTGACTTAGTAATGACAGAGTCAGCTGTCAGAAGATCCTCTGGTTCTTCAATAACTTCCTCAGTCTCTACTGGCTTACCATCTACGACAATAGTCTTCTTTATTATTCTCCTTCTAATGATTTTGCGGATAGTGGTCACCTCAGGATCTATGACTGACTCATTAATGACAGAGTCAGCTGGTAGGTCTTGCAGCATTTCCTCAGTGACTTCTTCAGGTTCTTCTACAATTTCCTCAGTCTCTACTGGCTTACCATCAACCATAATAATTTTCTTAATTATTCTCCTTCTGATGATTTTGTAGGTGGTGATTACATCTGGCTCTGTAATTGTCTCAGTAATCTGCGAGTCCGAAGGCATACTTTCGACAACTTCTTCAGTGACCTCTTCAGGATTTTCTATAACTTGCTCAGTCTCTACTGGCTTACCATCCACGATAATAGTCTTCTTAATTATTCTCCTTCTGATGACTCTGTGTGTAGTGGTTACCTTAGGTTCTGTGGTGACTGACTCAGTAATTGCACAGTCTGCTGGCAAACCTTGCAGCATTTCCTCAGTGACATCCTCTGGTTCTTCGATAACTTCCTCAGTCTCTACTGGTTTGCCATCAACCATAATGATAATTTTGATAATTCGTTTATGAATGACCCTATGTTTTCTACCAAAGGTTGTAGGTGAATCAGTTGAAAGTGCTTCCTTATTAGGTTCTACAACAAGTTCAGAATACCTTACAATGTCGGAGTCCTTAACTTGTTGAATCTGACTTTGAGAAAGATCCACTGGCTCTACACATGATTCAACAATGACCGAGTCTGGAATGTTCATATTCTGCAATATTTCATCAGTAACATTTGTAGGATTCGCTGTTTCTTCACTTGATACTTGTTTTCCATCAGCCGTGAGAACTTTTACTTTACTTTTTCTAATTGCTGAACAAGCTGTTGATGTTTCAGGGTATGTGAGGGACTCGGTAATCATGGAATCTCCTGGTAGGGTGTCCAGCATTTCCTCAGTAAGTTCCTCTGGCTCCTCCATCATTTCTTCTGTTTCGACTGGCTTACCATCAATCATAATTACCTTCTTTATTATTCGCCTTCTAGAAATTATGTTACTTGTTACTTTTGCAGTTTTACTTGTTGCAACATCTGTTTCCGTGATAACAGAGTCAGTTGGAAGGGGTTGTAGCATTTCCTCAGTGACCTCTTCTGGCTCTTCTATAACTTCCTCAGTCTCTACTGGTTTACCATCAACCATAATTATCTTCTTGATTATTCGCCTTCTAATGATTTTGTGGACAGTGGTCACCTCAGGCTCTGTGATTGTCTCTGTAATGACTGAGTCAGCTGGCAGACCTTGCAGCATTTCCTCAGTGATCTCCTCTGGTTCTTCTACAACTTCCTCAGTCTCTACTGGTTTACCATCAACCATAATTATCTTCTTGATTATTCGCCTTCTAATGATTTTGTGGACAGTGGTCACCTCAGGTTCTGTGACTGTCTCTGTAATGACTGAGTCAGCTGGCAGACCTTGCAGCATTTCCTCAGTAGCATCTTCAGGTTCTTCTACAACTTCCTCAGTCTCTACTGGTTTACCATTAACCACAATTATCTTCTTGACTATTCGCCTTCTAATGATTTTGTGGACAGTGGTCACCTCAGGCTCTGTGATTGTCTCTGTAATGACTGAGTCAGCTGGCAGACCTTGCAGCATTTCCTCAGTGATCTCCTCTGGTTCTTCTACAACTTCCTCAGTCTCTACTGGTTTACCATCAACCATAATTATCTTCTTGATTATTCGCCTTCTAATGATTTTGTGGACAGTGGTCACCTCAGGTTCTGTGATTGCCTCTGTAATGACTGAGTCAGCTGGCAGACCTTGCAGCATTTCCTCAGTGATCTCCTCTGGTTCTTCTACAACTTCCTCAGTCTCTACTGGTTTACCATCAACCATAATTATCTTCTTGATTATTCGCCTTCTAATGATTTTGTGGACAGTGGTCACCTCAGGTTCTGTGATTGCCTCTGTAATGACTGAGTCAGCTGGCAGACCTTGCAGCATTTCCTCAGTAGCATCTTCAGGTTCTTCTACAACTTCCTCAGTCTCTACTGGTTTACCATCAACCATAATAATCTTCTTAATTATTCGCCTTCTGATGATTCTGTGCGTGGTGATTACTTTAGGTTCTGTGGTGACTGTCTCAGTAATGACCGAGTCAGCTGGCAGTTCTTGTAGCATTTCCTCAGTGACATCTTCTGGTTCTTCAACCACTTCCTCAGTCTCAATCGGTTTACCATCAACCATAATAATCTTTTTAATAATTCTATTTCTGATACTGCTGTAGGTTGTGGTTACATCGTATTCTCTGGTTGTCTTAGCAACTACAGAGTCATCTGGAAGGCTTTGCAACATTTCCTCACTATTACCTGGTTCTACTACTACTCCCTCCAATGATTTACCATTAACCATAAAGATATTTTTCTCTCTCTCTTTGATTGTTTCACTAATTTTCTCTTCAAAATTAGTGTACTTGCTCTCACGATTATTGGTTTGTATCTGTGTACCATCTCTATTTTTATTATCTATTGTAATTCCTCTCCCTGTTGTTAGAATAGTAGTGTCGTCTGTTTCTTCTGTGGATAAAACGTTCCTCTCCAATCCAGCTCTGTCTATGTCATCAAAATAGAATATTTCTTCCTCATGAATTGACTCATCAAGTTCAGAAGGTGGCTGTTTGCATGAAATAGTTTTTTGAGACTGAGAGGTGTCTTGTTTATGGCACGGTGAAACCTCAACAGATATCGAAGCGATTTCCTTATGCTCACCTTGTACCGTATGTTCCATACTGGTACTAATTTGGTCAGGCAGTGATGAAGGTGTATGCAACATCTCCGAAGAAAGAACCACTTGACTCTCTTCAGAACCTTTTTCCGAAGGTTTCTCATTCTTTTCTGATAATATATCTCCATCCTTCACTACACTAGCACTATCTTGAATGGTCTCGTAAGGAAAAACAGAGGTCTCTACTGGAGATACACGATTAGCATCTACAGGAGTTTTAGGGACTTGGGTAGGTAAGTCAGGTAGAGGATCAAGAATAAGGTCTACAGGTACACCGTTAAGGGGTTTGTTAGAGGACACTGCCACTTGCTCAGGTACTGATACAACTACAGGTTCCACAGTATGCTTATGTTTAACTATAGAGGTGGATATACTTTGCTCCTCCTTCAGGACCTGCAATTCTTCCACCATACTCTCACCAAGTTGCATCTCATTTTCATCTTTGTTGAAACTAACACCCTTTGTCTTCTTGCATTCGGTTTTACGTCTTTCAGCTTCAGAAATTTTCCCAGCCAGGCAAGCTTCCTTCTCTTGCTCAGCAGTTTTATATTTCTGAAGTTTCTTTTCTACCTTTTCTGGTTTTGTTACTAGCTCAACTTTTTGCTGGACTGAATCACTGAGTGTACGCTCAGCTGTTTTTGGCACAGATGATTGTTCTGTTTTCCTCGTCTTCTTTGAACCCCGTCTTTTAGGCTTGTCCTCTTCCACGGGTCCCAATTTGGGAGTTTGGGTTGGCTGGATTTTACCACTTTTTTCCATCTCTTCAATTTCTCTCAAAGCTTTTTCCAAATCATCTTCTTGATCTTTTGGATTCGACCTGTTGCGCTTTTTCTTCTTCTTTCGTTTATCCTCATTTTCGTGAGCTTTTGTATCGTCTGATTGATTACTTTCTATAGTAGTCATGGTGAGCAGAGTATCACTTTTCTTTGTTACAATCTCTTGATCTTTCTTTGTGACAACTTCTTGATCTTTCTTTGTTACAACTTCTTGATCTTTCTTTGTTACAACTTCTTGATCTTTCTTTGTGACAACCTCCTGATCTTTCTTTGTTACAACCTCCTGATCTTTCTTTGTTACAACCTCCTGATCTTTCTTTGTTACAACCTCCTGAACTTTCTTTGTTACAACCTCCTGATCTTTCTTTGTTACAACCTCCTGAACTTTCTTTGTTACAACCTCCTGATCTTTCTTTGTTACAACCTCCTGATCTTTCTTTGTTACAACCTCCTGATCTTTCTTTGTTACAACCTCCTGATCTTTCTTTGTTACAACCTCCTGATCTTTCTTTGGTTCTTTTTCGTCAGGCTTTTGTAGGAGGTTTACAAGAGAGGTTTCCGTTACAATCATTTCTTTCTTCTGTATACTTCGATTTGTAGGAGTTTTAACTTCTTGGACTGATGGTAAAGCTATTGCAGCATGCTCTAGCTTGGGTTGTTTTGCTTTAGAATGTTTCTCTTCCTTTTTTATTATTTCCTTTACTACCTCTGCAGTTATCTCTTCCTTATCTTTGGTAGCTTCAGTGAAGTCTGTAGAGGATTCTCCCTTTTTTCTTCTAGCACTCTTGGATCTTGACCGTCGATCTGACCCTTCTTTGAATAGAAGACCAGGAATATAGTGTTCCATTCGCTGAAGGTCTTCTGTTTTCTTAGATTCTTCTGGCTCTTTCATTACCGTCACTTCAATTTTAGGTTCATAGGATCTCTTCTTGCCTCTTGATCTATCACAATCATAGGCCACAGCTTGAGTTATCACTGTCTGTTGTTCATCACTTGGTTTGCTGGGTGTTTCTACATACTCCACTTTAGGTTCGATATCTGCCACTTTTTCGGGTTGAGTTGGTCCCTTAACATATGACATAACTGATTTAAATGCTCCATATGTATGTGTGACAACAGCTGAAGGGGCAGCTTTAAGACCCATTGCCAAAATTTGAGCATATGACAACTTTGATTTATCAATGGAGTCTGTTGTCACAAGAACGTCAGCTGTTTCAACAAAGCATGGTTGTTTTTGTTCAATAACTATTTGAGATTCACTTTGTTCTTCAGATGAGGATGGTTCGAACACCATAGAAGGAACCTCTGCTACATCGTCGGTCTCCATTCCTTCCTCATCCTCCTGGAACTGCTCTGGAGTCTCTGGTGGGGTCATCATAGGTGGGGTCACAGTTGGCTGGGTTGTGATCATAGTAATCATTGGGGCTTCTTCAGGTGATGCTTGGTCTAGGGTCACACCTGAGAACTCATTACTTGTTTCACTTATTTGTTGATAGTCGCTCACTTGTCCATATTGATGCACATTAAAATCATCGGAAATATAGCTTGTGGTAACTGGAAATTGACTCACTTCCTGGTAGAAATTCATGGTATCCATGTTACTGTTCATGACAATATCTTGCATTGAAGTTTCCATTGCTTGCATAGGGCTCTGAATAGTTTGCACATCCATTGAGTACCCATTTGGGAACATGGATGTGGTGGCGGCTTGTTGGTAGGAGGCATCAGTGGCCTGGGATATTTCAACTCCTTCAGGTAAGAAAGTTGGTTGTTCCATGTAGCCAGGATATTGTGGCATAACCATAGCAAGCTCCTCTTCTCTTTGCTGAGTTATAACCTCTGACTCAACTTCTTCATCAGCAGGTAAACTATCTTCATCCAAAGCATATTCTTGTTGAGGATCTTCAACGTATTCTAAACTTTCGCACTCGGCAGCTGAAGACATGGTCACAGTAGAGGTTACGGTTTGTACAGCTGATTCGATAATCTGACTAGAAACCTCTGTAGCAGTAACATCTTGTATTTCAGCTTCAGCTTGCACATCTGACATAGCTGCCTCGTCTACATCAAGTCCCCGTTCTTGCCTTATTTTCATCTCATGCCTTCCTTTCAGAATTTCAGCATATGTAGTTTTGCCATCCCACATGGCAGTGGGAAGCACCCTGCCTGATCTTTCTTCTTCAATAGCTGCCTCAAGTTGTTCTTGAACTTCTGCTTTGGATACGTTCTCATGTTCTCGACGCTGTACTTGAGGACTGGACTTTGGGCTCTCTGTTGGACTTGTTTTAGGGGTCACCATTGGTGAATCTTTTGGACTTTCTTGGGGACTCTGTTTAGACTTTGTATAAGGATGCTTAGGGCTACTCTTTTGGCTATTTCTGCGACTCGGGGCATCATAATACACTTCTTCTTGTGGCTCTGTTGGATTTTGGCGCTCAGGCTGCTGCTCTATTGGTTGTTTCTTGCGGTAGCGTCGATCGCGTTGCTGTACGCGTCGAGATGCTTTAGCATCTTGCTCAAAGCTCTGTGACTTTTGAGCTTTTGCAAACTGTTGCTGACGATTTTTACGATCACGAACTTGCTTTTCTTCTTTATAAGCAGCACCTGGTGCCTGACCAGTTGCAACAGTATATTCTTCAATGACAGAATGTTCACTTGATGGTTCAACACTAATTTTCTCTTCTTTTATTGACTCAACAACCTGAGTTGGCGTTGCAGGTAATGATGATGACACTTGACTTGCTACAACATGAGGAACTACCTGCTGCGATGATACAACTTGAGGTACATTCATTTCTGTGGTGTATGTTTGGCAGAAGATACTAGGACTCTTCCGTCCGGCAGCCACATCTGCCCAAGTTAATTGCAATCCAGCTTCTGGGGTACCATGTATGGCACGTGCTTGTTGTTGAGCGGCTGTCCTTAATGACACCCCAGTCAAAGTTTTCACCTCTGAATCCAAGACGTCACCTTCACTCACTGGCAATTCCTGAGTAATTACCACCTGGACATCTTGGTTGATGGGTTCGTTGAAGACGGTCCTGGGTTGCATGGGTGAGATCTGGGCCTCTTCCTCGGGGGGTGTATCGAGCGAAGAGGCAAGAGTGCTCGTTTCGGTCGTGTCTAGCGTTAACTCGGTCGGAATCACCGCACTGGGGTCAATCTGGTAGATTCGTTCGGTGAGGTCGACAATGAGTCGTTGGCGAGATTCATACTGGCCTTGGAGCACCTGTGGTATGCAGTCCCGGCAAAGAAGAGTGGCATTGTAAGTGGATTGGAGACACACAAGCATTGCATAAAACAATGTTTACAAATGTGTTAAAAAGGATTGGATGAAAGGGGCAAATTGTATGCTAGATATGACAGAGCCAGATTGGCAAATGGAATGTATATTAAGGCTGCGTTTCATTTCCCCGTTCCCTAACTGGAAGAGGGAAGCATCACAGAAAAGGACAATAAAAAGTTAGGATGGTGGATGGTATGGGAGAGAGGCAGGCGTCCTACTAGGTGTCAAGTGGCGTAGTGTCAGGGGTTCCCCGTTGGTTAAGAAGTTTGATACGCTCATTCCTTGCACTGATCTTGCACTGAATAGTTTTGATCCTCTCTCGGCAGGCCTGTGAGTGGATACCGAGCACCAATGCTTCAGAAACCTATACCCAGAGAGCTTATACTTTGCCTTACATTACCTGTTATGTGAGGGGCGATTCTTACGTGCCTGGTTAATTTTACCCTTCACCTTATTAATTAGTATTTTAAAAGCTGGCTAAACTGATTCAAATATGTATGATAATAGTCATAATAAATAATTCAGTATATTTCAAAAAAGTACAGAATAATTTGTATTAAAAAAGAGTAGGTTAAAAAAATCCAAACTACAACTAAAAAAGCAGGTTAATCAACAACTAATACAAGAAATATTATGTGAAGAGAAGGAGCCTAAGAGAGCGGCATCGCGCTGCGCGTTACCGAGCCAAAGATGGCGGGCGCCTGGCCAGCTGTTCCCACACTCCCGCCCCTGCTGCTGCTGCTGCTGCTGCCCGCCCCTCCTCAACCCCCCCGGGCCAAAACGCCTCAGTAACGTTTAATCAACAGGGTATTCAAGTTGATTCCATGTTACATCAACGTCCTTCGCCAAGCTGTGATTATATACCCATGCTTCCTACACATCACCTGCTTCACACTTGTGTAATGATGAATGTTGCTTGTGGTGTGTTGTTCCTGCTTTGCATATCTCCCGCCAGATTCATATCACACAGCACTGATGCTGCGTCGTTAATGGTTTATTGCACAATGCAAACTCAAATTATTTGCTGACGTATAACCCCTTGTGTATGAAGCGTGAGCAAGCGTCGTGTGGTGTGTGTGTGTGTTGAGCAGTGTAACATGTGTGCGTGAGGACATAACACCTACACACTAATATATGTGAGAGACGAGGCGGGAGCATCAGTGAGGCAGCGTGGCCAGGCAGGCCACGACACCCCAGGTTACATACACACACTCACATGGACAATATGGGGCAGGTGGCGGAGAGAGAGAATGTTATACACTTATTGACAGTGGGAATAGTAAGACAATGGGGGGAGAGAGAGAGAGAGAGAGAGAGAGAGAGAGAGAGAGAGAGA